GGCGTCCAGGCGAAAGGAGCAGGTCAGGTGCCCTACGGAGCACTGGGAGGCGATGCCGGATCTGTGCCGTGCCCCCGTGGGCTGTGATTCCATGGGAAGGGGCAGCAGCTGGGGCTGGCCAGGCCTGTGGGCAGGGGGTGGCTGCTGGCTCCTCCTCACGGGTGCTGCAACCACTCAAGCAGTGGCGAGGGACTGCCCCGCTCCCTCCTACGCTGCTCAATTCACAGCAGGGATAAATATTCGATACCTTCCCTTTGCTCAGGCTCTCTGTTTCTGGCACGGGCAGTCACGGTGTGGGGGCACAGAACACTCACTACAGGACCAGCTCCGGGGGGGCCCGAGGAGGATCCTTCTGGCCGCTGCCACACCCCTGCCCACAGGAAAGGGCTAAGGGGGGAGCAGCAAAGGCAGGACTGGGGGCACACAGAGGGCAGGGCAGTGGCATGGGCCTGGGCCTCTGCCCCCACCGCAGGCAGCACCACTGCAAGCTGCTTCGAAATCCCCCGTTTCCAAGGCAACGTGGGGATCCCACAGCTGGGAAAGGCAGAGCTGGAATGGGATGAGACACTTGCTGCCGGCCCCTTCACCTGTCTGGGGGCAATGCTCTCCTTTTCCAGAGCTGGCTGGCATCAGCGTGATGCCCGGCTGGGGACAGGAGGGTCTCCCCTCCTTTCAGCTTCTCTCCTCCTTTCTCCCTCACATCCCCTCCCTGCCTCCAGCTCTGAACCACGGGAGGAGCCAGGCCCTGCTGCCTGCTCATAGTCTAAGGAGGGAGACGGACCCTGCCCTGCAGCCCTCATAGCTTTGGTGGCACACAAGGGTGAAGTGAAGCCTGTAGAGCAGCTGCTGAGGGGTCCTGCCTGCACAGAAAACTGTAACCCCACATTCCTGTTGGCCTCCTTGGGAAGGACTGGTTGGTCCTCAAAGGCCAGCAGGAAACCAGTCTGGAGGTCAGGCACAGGGTATTCATCTGCTGACCCACAGCAGGGCCAGAGGTAAGAAGACGCCCTGTTTTGGATGCCCTTGTCCCCCACGGTGGCTGCAAGGAGGGATCTTGGTGTTGCCCTGCCACCAGTGCGTGGTGGGGGTTGTGCCTCAGCACTGGGCAGGGTGCTGGGCATCCCTCCAGCCCACCCCAGGGATGCCACACTCAGCATTGGTAACTCGTGCCCCTCGCAGTGACACCCAGAGATGGCTCCAGCACCGGCAGTGCCGTTGGCAGCCAGGCCAGGTGGGAGTCACCCCCTGTCACGGAGCCGCTGCCTGCTAATGGCACAGGGAGGGGCGTTTCTCCGGACAGCTCTTTTCCCAGCTGGCTGGCTCCCTCCCACAGCCAGCCTGCAGATACCAGCTCAGGCTCTGGCTGCAGCTGCCTCAGGCATTGGGAGCGTTCTCAGTGCTAACACACGCCAACCTGGAGGAGGGAGAGGCAGGACTGGCATCCCCCCACAGGTGTCCCTTGCCACCAGGAAACACAGCATCCCCCTCTTCCTCCATCTCCCCTCTGTGGTGATGGAAAGCTGCACCACTGCCTCCCCTCTTTGCTCCTGCCCTAAGGCAGAGCCTGCCAACAACCTGGGGATAACCAGGAATTTTAGGGGTTCCCAAGCTGGCTGGCTGCCCCACGGCAGTATCCTGCATGCAGCTCCGAGCAGAGCACATATGCATGCAGACACTTCTGCTTTAACCTGGAATGCTGTCCTGTTCCCAACAGGCTGCTCCGTGCCTGAATCCCCAGTTTAGCCAACCTTGCCACACTTCACCCTGCCAGGGTCTGCCTGAGCCCGTGGGACCCAGAGGGATTGCCCACGATGGCTCACTGAAGGTGCCAGAGGATAATCCCCTTTACTCAGCAACTTCCCAGCCAAGGGGTTGGAAAAGGAAGTCTGGATACTCACCGAGGAGTACCTTCAGTCCAGGAACACGCCGGACATGCCTGAGACACTGCAGGCTGGTTTTGGAGGCAAACCTACAAGTTAAAAAGGCTCAGCCACTTGCTCTGGTATCTTTACGCACCAGACTGAACCAGTGCTGGATTAATTATATTATGTCATGATTGAGGCTGTTGCTAGGCTACGGCCCCGGTCCCTAAGCCCGTCCTACTGCAGGATTTCCCCAGCATCACTCATCTGGCTGCTCGGGGCATCCCAAAGGACAGGCAAGCACCTTGGGCTCTCTGACCAGCTGGACCCTTGGATGCAGGGACGCTGCAGGCAGCAAACCCAGTGTGCCCCTAGGCCAGCCCCTGCCCAAGTCCATTCTGCACCAGGCCTGGGGGCAGCCAGGTTTATCTCCGGCACCACAGCCCCCCTGAGCCTCCAAGAGCACCCACAGCCTCACACATTCATTTTGTGTCCTGCTAAAACTCGAGTTCCAATGACCTTTTCATGTTCACTGCTGGGGGGAAGGAAGCAAATTCCCACCCTGGGGCCTTGGCAAGCCAGGAAAAAACCTTGTTATAACCTTATGGGAGCAACAGAAATAGGGTGAAGCTGTATCCCCCAAAGGGCAGCATTGGGGCACTCCTTGCACATGGCCCTTGTCATTAACTATGGAGAATGACAAGAGGCCACGTGCACTGGTGAGCCAGGATACAGCTGTGGAAAAGGCCAGTCCCATCCCAGGGTCAGCAGGAGAGGGATTGTACGGGAATCATTAAGAACCAGCCCTGGCATGACCTCAGCTGGACTGGCACGACCACAGAAAGATGAACTCTGAAGGGAATTGGTGCCAATGGGCACAGCTGTGGGATGGACTGGCAGAGCAGGGATAGAGCCCCTTTGGCAAAGGGCTGGGAAGAGGGAGCAAACCACAGTTCTAGCAAAGGAACAAATCAGCATAAATTGTCCAGGAATAAATCTGGATGGCAATGATCAGACAGCTCTCAAGCCCCAAGGCAGAAGGTGATGGACAACTTTCCACAGGGATTATAGAATCAGGGAGTGCTTTGGGTTGGAAGAATCCTTAGAGATCAGCTGGTTCCAGCCTCCTGCCACGGTCGGTGAAATCCAGGGATGCCAAAAACTGATCTGGAGGTGGGGGCTGCAGGGGCCCGTCAGCCTGTCCTGGTGCTGGTTCCCTACATGGTGTTTGACAGGGGAAAGAGGCAGCCACAGGCCAGGCATCAGAGCCACGATCCCTTCAGCACAGGCCCTGCAGGGCTGGGGCACACGGCTCAGCAGCTTGGATCTCCTGCAGGGATGACTTTTGTGACAGCCACTAACACAGATCAACATAAGGAAGAGCTTTTTTAGCAGGCAGGGGCAGCCACCTGTGCAAATGAGACCTGGGCCATCAGGAGGGAAATGCTGTGCACACAGGAGGAATCCCTGGGGAGAACAGGTACAGCACAGAGGAGTCGGGTCACTCTGGGGCAGCTGGAAGGTCTCCCCAAAACCAGCTCCCAGCTGAGGAGCCACAGGGCTGCCAGGCAGCCAGGTGAAGCCTCCTGAGATCAGAACGTCAGTCAGGACTCTGACTGCACCACGTTCCACCGCAGCAGCTGCATCGTCACACACTGGAAGTGATGGGAGCTGTGAACTGTCACATCAGATTGTCCCACTCCAAGGGGGGGTACAGCAAGGAACACTCCCGAAATAAACACCCCACAGAGGCTGGGGCAGCACCTGAGCCATCATGGCTGGAAGGACACAGTGGGTGGGAGCAGGCACCCACGGAGTTACTCTCCTGGCTTATCTCGAGTAGTCTGGCTCCCAGCTGGCACAGCAGAAGCCAAGATGTAGTCGGATGGTGGCCAAGGGCCCTGTGGATCCCAGCCAGGCAGGGGAGAAGGCAGTGCCCTGTCCCCCATGGATGAAGCTCCCTGTGCTGTGCCGAGGAACCAGCCCCAGCTGAATTGCAGCAATCAATTTGCTCTTCTCCCTCCTACTGCTCCAAACCCAGGGAGCAGTAATGCTGCAGCTCTGGCCAGTGTTAGCTTCAAGAAACTGCAGCTCCTTAGCCTCAAGCTGTTGATTTTTTTTTGGGGATGACTGATAAAACCCAAAAGCAAATACCCTGGTACCTCTACAGATGCTCAGAGGAACTATTTATATCGATGTGATCCTGCAGAAGCTTCCCTCTAATGACGGGCATGTACACATACTTTTTATATTTAGCTTCTTTGAAAGGCTGGGCATGGGAGAGCCTGGCTCAGACAAGGCCTGTTTCCTTCTCCCCTCCCTCACACTTGCTGGCTCTGGATCACACCTCACGCTGTAGCCCGAACCAGTTCAGCATCCCCTGGAAAAGGGAGAAGCCTAAGTCTAAAAAGACCAGGTTGGACAGGGTTTGGAGCAACATGGTCTAGTGGAAGGTGTCCCTGCCCATGGCAGGGGGATGGAACAAGATGAACTTTAAGGTCCCTTCCAACCCAAATCAGTCTGTGATTTTGTGTGTATTATAAAAAGTGCCTTCTTGCTGCTATTCCCTTCCACACTCCTGCTTCACCCACAGGGTAGGATTTCTCTGGCCTCGCTGCAAAAGTCAAACCATGCCACACACCCTCCTGGGGCTCTAGTGTAAGCAGAGCCAGTTTCCACATCTGCTTTTCCTCTTTACAGGAGTATTTTAGAACAAAATGACTGATCTTTGCTTGTTTTTGCCACAGCTCCTTGTGCTGACAAGCCACAGGGAGTGTGAAGGCTCCTACAGTGGCAAATCTGGCCCAGGTGCCAGAGAAACTGAGGAGAGCACTGGTGTTAGGAGGGACAGGGCACCAGTACAGCCCCCTGCTAACCACATCTGACCAAACCACCGACCCTTCCACACTTGGGGAAAGCGACAGCTCCCTCAGGGCAGACTTCGGTTTTGGGGAAAGAGCTCACGGTTTTTACATTCGGCTCCTTTTTTTGGACTGATTTTTTAATTCCATGCCCCATCCCGGGAACACAGCAGCCTGGGGAGGGGCAGGGAGACACCCCTCTGTGACAGGGTGTGGAGGGGCACATGGTTCCTGAGCCCGGGCAGGAGCGCTCTGAGGGAAAAGAAGATGTGCAGAGGCAGGTGTACAACAGAGCTTTATAGTCAGAATGGACTGTACCAGGGTTTCTCGATGCAGAAATGGAACATGACCCAGAATCCTGGTGGAACAGAAATGCTTTCAGGACTGCAGCAGCTGAGGCTCAAGTGCCCACCTGCCTTCACGCATGAGGGGCTGCAAACCGGTCCTGTCCCAGTCTTCCTTTTCCTCCCCAGGTGTGCAGTTTGAACAGTCCCATGCAATTTCCCTACAGTGTCATGTGGAATGCTCAGAGGAGGCAAATGCTAATGGCAAACAGACCTGAACGATACACTGCTCATGCAGCAAAAAAAACAATTTGTTTTATAGGGAAATGGTTACAAGTGCATTTTGTGGGCAACAAAAAGAAAAATGGAGCAGGAGAATGCCTGCTGGTCAAGACAGCTCTGGAGTGGATAACGGATCAAAAGAACACATTGCTTGATAGGGACACAGAAGGAAACTCCAGTTTGGATTTCATGGTTGACATCTTACAACAAAAAGGGGAGAGAGAGAACAAAACCAAACCTCAAATCAACTTACAAGCAAGAGGGAAATGAAATGCACAGAACCTGGAGGGAGCTTCACCGTCTGAGCTGAGCAAGGGACCCCAGAACCAAATCAGGAGGAGCGCAGAGTACTGACCACTCCATCAAACACAGAGGCTGCTCACTGAGGCACAGGTGAGTGCCATGGGTGGCCGTAGTGCCCATCCAATGGCTGCTGAGCAGGTACCAATCCACAGGTTTAAGTTCAAAGCAAAAACTAAAAGGCTTCCCAAACACGAGGCAGAGGGGGCTCTGCTTGGGGCAGGAAAGGCAGCACGCTGGCTGGCTGCAGTATGGACAGAAGCTGGAGCAGGACGGACGCTGCTGAGCTGCAGTGCTGGTCCCTCTCGGTGCAGAGCGGCAGCTGGGGCTTTACAGCCTGACTGTAAAATGCCTGAGAAGCAAATGCCTTGCCATGCCAACACTGCCCTGTAGCCAATTCTGAAGCTCTGGATATCTTCATTTCCATATGGAGTCATGTCCCTGAGAGGTCCCGGCGGGAGGGGATTCTGGAATATGCAAATTTAAGAGTGGGAAGTGCAGAAAAGCACTGATTTTTCTCTCTCTTTCAGGTTATCTTTCCACTTTGCATTGTTTTCCCAAACTGCATAGCAGCTTACATGTAGTGTCTGAGACACCGGGGCCACGGAAATCAATGGGCTTCATGAATTCCAACAGCAGCACCAGTGAGGGCTAATTAAGCTGCTGTGCAGAAAGGTCCCGTTCAAAGGGCTTCAAAAATCACACACACTCTCTTTCACGCTGGCTCTGCGCCTGCTACTTTAGAGAGCTGTACCATAGATGATCTGCTTGACTTAAAGCTCATCAACTGCTGGGTGAAGCTATGGCCAATATCACCTTTCTCCTTAAAAAAATAGGAAGGATAAGAAGTTAAAGACTTGAGACAGTCGAGCACGATGCGTTCATGCGGCATGTTTTTGTACTCCTCTTAACAAGACAGGAATTTCAAGTGTGCAGGAGTGGAATGCAGCAGGGACGGAGCAGGAGGCAGGTCCCCTCACGCCCACACCCTGCCAGCGACCCGACGGGGCATCTCTGGAAGGAGAAAAGCCGACAGCCTGGAAGCCGTACCCTGAACCTTCCCCTGGCTCATGTACATCTCAGCTGCGTTTGCTTTGTGTAACGATGCACCAGGCCAGCACACACAGATGTAAAGCTTTTGTTTTGCTCACTCTGGTTTGAGAGAATATACATTAAATGGCCAAAGCTTTACACATCTGTGCCTGTCCTGGGGTGACTCGTCAGAGAAGATGGAGACAGCCACGGTGCAGAGTTCACAGCCAGCCTACAGCTCCTCATAGTCCCCCCCGCCCCGTGGCTTGCTCATGCTGGCTCCTCCTCCGCCAAGAAAAGCCTCAAGTTCATCTATCTCACTGCTTTTCTCCTTGCTCTTCTTTTTCTTTTTCTTTTTCTCTTTCTCCTCTTTGCTCTCCTCCTTCTCTTTGCTCTTCTTGTGTTTGCTCTTCTTTTTCACTGACTTGTCCTCTTCCTGTAAAATGAGAGCATTTTTATTAGTAAATCCTCTGAGTATTCCAGTGACCCAGGATATACTGCTCTGACACTTGGCTCCGATGGGAATCACAGAATGGTTGGTAAGGACCTTTTAAAGATCACCTAGTCCAAACCCCCTGCTATGGGCAGGGACATCTTCAACTGGATCAGGTTAGGGTGAAGCATCTACTACTAAGGCTGGCTTGGAGTTAATTCCAGAAGACCATTCTGCAAGCTTGGACAGAAGAGTGGACAGACCACCTGGCTTATATGTAGCAGTGGTCTGTCAGGCAGTTTATGCCCAACAATACCACGGTATTGGACAGGCAGAAATGGCACAGAAAAAGACTCCTGCAGACTTCCCTCGCTGTCCCTGAGATTAGGTCTGTTGGGGACACCCCCTCTGCTCGGGAAATATCTATGCTATGAACACTCTCAGTTCAGCACAGATGCACTGCTCTGCCTCATCCTGTATTTTACAAGCTCAAACACTCCCTTTTCAAAATTCAGCTGCTCTAAAAGCTTGATTTGAAGCTCAATGGTCTGCAGAGCCTGGGAGGCACACACCAGCTGCAGGATGTGAACATGGAAGGGAGTCCACCTGGTCCCCAGAGGACACCACAGAAGGCCACCCCTGTTCTTGGTTGGTAGATAACATGGCAGATCAGCTCTGAGGAATTAAACAGTACCTCTTTGCTTTTCTTTTTCTTCTTCTTTTTCTCCTTAGAAGGTTGTTTATCTATTAAAACAGAAAAAAACCATTGTTTTTACTCAATTTAAATGGTAAGAGATGCAATTCTGCCCTGGACCCATTTCTGAGAACAAAATACTCCATCTTGGAGCCATGGGCAACGGCAATGCTGACATCTCAGGACAAACTGTGCCCCTTTAGAAACCAATATAGGCTCCAGCACTCGCACCCTGACTCAACAATATGCAACTTGTTTAATTATGAGCATTATCAACACTGACCCGGCATTCACTGTGTCACAGCTACTAGGAAACAAATCTAGAGACCAGCTTTACAAAACGGTCCGAAGGCCAAATTTGGGACTGGATTACTATTTCAAGAACTGAAGAAGAGCTCCCGGGAACAGTTTTCCTCTGATGGAAATCCTCCCAGGCATGGTTTGTGCTTCTCTGAGGACAACTGAGGACATAGTGCCAGCAGATAGGACACCCTGACCGGCCAACACTCACTGCTGCTCACACTGTGTATGGAAATTACATCCCCAAAGCAACCCTGCTGCAGCCCTACTCTACAGGGGTGAATACTATTAAATGAGTCCCAGAGTCCATCACTGTCACAACATTTGTCCCATGTGACTGTGGCTGCTGAGCTTCCACTGTCTCTGCACAAAACCTCCTTGAACAGCAGGGTATCTGCTTGGCTGTTTCACAGAAGGCCTCATGACTGCACCACATTTCACATGTGCGATTTAACTGTCACTCTTACCTACGCAGCCCTTTTTCCTCAGCTGCTCTGTAAATGGAGAAGTTTAATTGCCAGTCAAGTTCCAAAGACTGACGACCGAGAAACAGTTTTATATTTATCACCAAAAGAGATAGGAGGAACCCACGGTGAATTATTAAAGATGCTAAACTGAAGTTAAATTATTGACTTGGGCCTCTGCAGATGCACTTGCAGTTATTTCAAGCTCTGCTGTTCAGCAGCTCAGAGCGACAAGCTGATGAAGCCATGGCAGCCTGTGATACCTTGCTCACACTTTTGGAACAGCTCTCTCTGGTGCTGCTCACAGCTTTCTTCCTTCCTTAAGTCTTTAACTTCCCATCTTTCATCGTGACATCAGGGCGGTCTATAGAAGTTGCTCTGCAGTAATGCCTAGACAGCAGGAATTATTTGCACAAGTAAGACTTGTTCCCTCGGGGAATGGGGGGAAAAAATACAGCCCGAGGAATGCTTAGATTGTGATCAAGATCCCACCCCATTTTTCCCCAAAATAGAAGAGGAGATTGGCAGGGTATGTCAGAGCATTGTGCTCAAGTTGATCCAAATTCTTGAGGAGGTGGACACTGCAATGCTGAATGGCACTTGCCAGACAGGCAAGGCTAAGCAGGAAGCCTTACACAGCAGCAGCTTGTGAAAGATGTGCTTCTGCTTTCAGCTGGGACTAAAATAATACATGGCTGGTGCCATGGACAAGCCAAGTTCCCTGTCTCCTCATGGGGAAAAATTTAAAGCTACTCATGCTGTGTTAAACCAGATTACAGACTCACGTAGGGCGCTGCATGAAATTAGAGGGTGTTTTATTTAGTACAAATTGGTTTGCTGACACTCTGGAACCACTTTGGAAAAAACAGATGCCTGACAAACAAAAGCAGCAAGAGTGGATATAAGGTGTGAACTTTACCTTCCTCGCTGCTCTCCTTGGGACCAGCTTCTTCCAAACCCAAACCAAAGAGATCTGAGTCATTTTTCAGTTTAAATGAGGGGACTGTTGATTTCACAGGTTGGGGTGGCTTTGCCGGCGAGGTATCATCATCAGATACTTCTGAGAGATCTTCCCTCACTGGGAATTCATCCTAGAGACAAGCAAAGGCAGGCAACACTGACAAATGCTTCAACCAAAATCTCTAAGCATTTAGTACACAAAAATGTCAGATGTCAGCAGGTGGGCAGGAGGGAAGGAAATGGCATCTGAACTGAGCTGCTACTGCCTGGAAATCAATGCCCTCCTGGATCTTATGAGCTCTATTTCTTGCCTTGGTAAAAATGCCTCAGTCGCACTGGTACTGGCAAGGGTGTTCTGAGAACGTCACACTGGGGCTGCCGAAATCAAATTCCCAACGTAAAGGGATTAAATGAGACCTTCAGCTCTGTTATGCCACCAGCATCATCTTTTTTCTGCCCTGGGGAGGCACCTCTGTTTTGGGAAAATCAAACCAAATAGGCTGAAAACTCACCTCCAGCCCTGAGAGACAAAATCTTTCTGCTGTGGAGCTCTGTGGGTCTCAGGTACCAGAGGCAGCAGGGCCAAGGAAGCAGAGTGTGTTTGCAGAATAACTCCCTTCATCGAGCTAAAAGGGAATGTGCTCCCAGGGCAAATCTGCCCCTTCACTGCGGGATAAAACCCAGGATGCTGCAGAGCCTGGATACCACCCAAAAATCCTCCGTCTCTGTATGACGGGAACGGAAATTCAGTTTAATGATCTTCTGATACTGTCAACTGATTCTCTTCAGAATTTGTTATCCAACCTTTCCATATACCTTATATCCCTGTATACCGACTGAACACAGCCTTGCTGTGCTGCTGGTCGAGGCAATGCCCCACACCTTGCTAATGGTGATGGCTTCACCGGTTTGCCTGACCAGTACATCTTGCAGTGGGAAAACATTCACCTGTTATGGGGCATTCCCTGTGTCAGGCATTCCCTGACACTGCTGCACTGACACCCTCACTGATCCCTTCTCATCAGCACATGCAGGAGATATAAACTTGCTCCAAATACTTCGCTTTCATATTAAACTGCCAAGAAAAGCAGGAAATGAAAATGCAAAATGAATGGAAAATTACTTAATAAACAGCATGACACATAGGCAAGGTCAAAGAAACTGGGACAACCGCCCTTTCTACAAGATTCTGGAATGATGCAGACACAGGGAACCTCCCTGAACACCAGCTATCACAGACACCAGGGCACCCCTGAACAGCCACTGCCCATCACAAATCACTGTCAGCAGTTTCCAGGGATTGCTCTGCAGGCTGCGAGTACAGGTCACTGAAATCAGGGATATCTTGAGCCATGCAGCAAGTTCTGACCAGCTCAGAGAAGATGGGTGGGAGAAGTGTTTTCTTCATCTGTAATATGGGGGGCTGTGGGGCGACTCCTGGTGTACCCTGTGTTTGAGCAGACACCTGCAAGCATGTGCTGAATGTTGCAGAAATTACAGCTACCTTGGCTATCCTGGAAAGTCCTTCCCAGGCAGACTTCCTTCTTCCCTCAAGGCTTTGCCAAGCAAATTTTGTGATGGCCTTTTGATTGCTGGATTGACTGCAAGAAGCTCATTCTCTCTGGCAGAGACACACTTCTACATGTTAAACTTTGGATGAAAATCCAATAGCTTTGTATTTTGTACCTTCCACACTGCTGCACTGGTTGTGCTTTGGACTGGCTGAGAATACGCAGCACAGTAAAATACATAAGCACAAATCTTGTTTGTGTTTGCAAATACAAACCTTGTGTCAGGGGAGGTTTAAGTTGGATATTAGGAGAAGGTTCATCCCCCAGAGGGTGGTCGGGCACTGAACAGGCTCCCCAGAGCTCAAGGAGCGTTTGGACAACGCTCTCAGAGACAGGGTGGGATTGTGGGGTGTCTGTGCAGGGCTAAGGGTTGGACTGGATGATCCTTGCCCCTTCCAATTCAGGGTATTCTACAGATCTGTGATTCTGTGATTCTTGTTGCCATGTGGCTTTCACATTCAGAGCATTGGTAGGTTTGTGCTTACATCAATCTCTGCAGGTTGCTTAGCACCTGCCTTGCTGCGACTGCTCCTGAGGGAGGGGAGAACAGATGAAGACTCTGCTCAGGGAGATGCCTCAACCCTTCCAGCTCAGCTCAGCATGGCTCACAGCAACACAGGCATGTTATTTACCATTTTCTTCTTCTGGCTGTCAGAATCTTCACTTTCAAAGTCTGGGTCATCCATAACAAATGAGAGCATCTGAGTAGCTATTGGTCCCTCTTGATCACTGTCAGACTCCTCAGGCTTCTCCTCTTTGACCACTTTCTGCTTGGAAGCAAGTCCTTTGCTTTGGGAAGTGGCCTTTGAGGCCTGGGCTGCTGCTGCAGGGGCAGGAGCAGTGGCTGCCAGGCCAGTGTTGACCTTGCTGCTGCTGTTTCGTTCAGACCCGGAACGGGAAGGTAAACTGTCAGGAGGCTTCGGGTCAGTTGCTTTGGTCAAAATTGCTTCACTCTGTGGTTTCAGAGAACTTCTGGAAGACCTGAGAAGAAACAAGTCGTCAGAGCCTGTCCACTCCCATTCTGTGGAGCAAAGCACAATTAACAGCTGAGACTGCCTCAGGGGCTGAATTGTGCACCCCACTGGGAGAGGCAGTTCATCCTACCTGGGGGGCGTGGGGGGGGGGGGTGGGGTGCGGTCAAACACACCACTCAGGCTGAGGATAACCCTGGTGTCTCTGTGAATGCTGAGGCACAGGTGTCCATGCCAGCACATCATGCTTGATATCACCCACAGGATGTGGTTTGTGGAGAACATGATCCAGCTCATTGCTCCCCAGCACAGGGTGTAATGAGTGACTCCACTCCCTTCACCCGAGACTTGACTCCTCTCCCCTCCCCACACCACTATGAACAGCCATTCTGGCGTCCAGTTATGGGCTCTTGTTCAAATTTGAGGAAAAGGCTGGGCCACTCCCAAGTAGAACTGTCCCAGTGGCCACAGGAGCTCAGTGCTCTAAGGCACGGGGCAGGAAACACTGCACAAAGCAATTACACCTACAGTAACTACAGCCCCAGCTCACAGCTGAAGGAACAAGCTCACAGAGACACCAAGACTTTCCAAAGGCTGCACACAGTCAGTGCAGGACTGAGAAGAGGCCAGCACAACCCCACACTTCTGCCTGTGGTTTGTACCTTTTTTTTTCCTGCTCCGTGTTTTTGTCTCCATCTGGTATGAGGATGACCTTAGAGTCCTTCACCTCTTCCTCTTCCTCCTCCTCACTGGAGAGGGTGATGTTCTTGCTGGGCACCCGTTCTCCTGCCAGCACTGGTCTGCTGGGAATTTTGTCATCCAGATCCAGGTCATCTTGGAAACCTGCCACCATGGGGTTCCCCCCGGCTGCCTCTCCATCGCTGCAAAACAGACAGTGATCAGACACCCACCCCAGGATGGGCTGGACAGACCTGCCTCCCCTTGGACAGAGACTGATGCTGGCCTGGCTTTTCCAGCCAATTTCAGGAGCAACGTTCTCAGCCCAGGGCAGCTGATGATTAAAGGGCTGGAGCTCCTCTGCTCTGGAGACAGGCTGGGAGAGCTGGGGGTGTTCAGCCTGGACAAAAGAAGGCTCCTGGGAGACCTGAGAGCCCCTGTCAGTGCCTAAAGGGGCTCCAAGAGAGCTGGAGAGGGACTTTGGACAAGGGCCTGGAGGGACAGGACAAACAGGAATGGCCTTCAGCTGAAGGAGGGCAGGGTAGACTGGAAATTAGGAAGAAATTCTTCCCTGTGAGGGTGGTGAGGCCCTGGCACAGGTTGCCCAGAGAAGCTGTGGCTGCCCCAACCCTGAAAGTGTCCAAGGCCAGGTTGGACGGGGCTTGGAGCAACCTGGGCTAGTGGAAGGTGTCCCTGCCCATGGCAGGGGGTGGAATGACATGAGCTTTAAGGTCCCTTCCAACACAAACCAGTCGGTGATTCTGTGATTCTATGCAGTGCCAGCCTTCCCTTGCCCACTGCCCAGCTCAGGCTGGACCTGCTCCCTGCAGGCTGCAGCACTGGCATGAGCCCTGCACCAAACAGGCCACATTAGGATGTGTCACACAGCAGCTGCCACCTCTCAAGCTGGAAATAAGTGGCTGGAAAAGATGAGCCTCACTGGTACAGAGCAGCCTGTGGCCTCAGTTCCATCAGAACATGGAGCTCCATCCAACACGCAAGGATCAGTCAGTCAAACCATGGGAACTGCCTGCTTTCATCTCCACATCCTGTAATTAAACCTGATCATATGCTGTCACTGCTATGGGAACTCACTCAGCTATCAGCTTCTTGGAATCGTTTCTATTTCTGTGGTGCTCCCTGAAGCAGACAGATATCGAGACCATGCTTTACCATTCCCGAAATTAAATTAACCTAAGGACACACATTCAGAGCTGGAAGTCTGTCAGCCTCCCTGGATGTAGCACAGTTCTGTGTTCAGAGGCAGCTTGATTGAGAGCTTCGCAGCTGAGGATTCTTGTCTCAATGTCCCCAGGACTCAATTTTAATACTTTCTGAAGGATTTGCTCATGTCAGAAATATAGATTTTCCCCAGGCTCAGCTGATGAGCCTTTGTATCACTTTTCCTTGTTCTACTTGCTTTATTCACAGATACCTAGCTCCTCCCCAATAACCCACCACACACAAGTCACTGTCCTTTTAATGACACCACATGGATTATACAAGCACAGTCTTCATTTTTACACAGAGACAAAAAAATTGTTATAGCTTGGAACAGATTAGATTTTAGAGACATAAACAAAGTCCTTAAACTGGAAGAAGGTGGTGTTCCCAGTCAGCCGCACAAGGCAAGCACTGGAAGACAGTGGAGGATGGTGTGCTGGTAAGAAGAGAAATGCCCTAAACACTGTCAGGATGATGGTAACTGCTCACTCTGACTCTTCTCATACAGTTGGATATCAGCTTACAAGTCAGTTTTAAAGAGTTAATACATCTGCCAACAGACAATGGAGTTATTTGTGACAATGGGACACCATGCTGATGACACCTGGCGCAGCCAGAGTGATCACAACCAGTGCTTGTCTGGGTTGGAGTGCCAAGAGCTGGGCCAACATCAGCCCTCTCTCTGTTTCTGGTGTGGATCCCTCTGCTCTCAGGACTCAGCGCAGCGCCTGGCTGAGCAGGGACAGGCTGCTGAAGAGCCCCTTCATCACTAACACTGCTGCTCTCACGCCGAGCCAGGAAGCAGGCACACAGCCTGGCCACACAAAGGAGAGGAAAACTGGTGCCCAAACCAGCCCCCAAGGCTGGAGGAATTACAAGTGAGCAATTCCTGACGTTTGCAAAGTACTGGCAGGGTTTCCTCTTGAAATGCACCGAAAAGAAAATGGAGTGGCATCCTAAAAATGGCAGGATATTATTCTGAACTAAAGACATTGCATTTCTTTAACACATCACTACTCTATTAGGCACAGGGGCTGATCAGACATTGCTGCCACTGTCCTACCACACACCATCCAGACTTGCAGCCTTTCAAGCATTCCCAGTCTGAATGGAACATCCATGTTTCTACCCCTCCTCGCCAAAGTGGGTCACCTCCCTTTGCAGTGAGTGCACTGCCTCCATGTCTAACCAACACAGACCGCTGAACGACAGCTTAAGAGCAGAGCAGTGGAGTGAATATACATCAGGAAAATCACTGCTGCAGTATAAACAGGGTCTGACAAGGCAAAACTAGGATCAGCTTGTGGTCCTGAGGTTCCAGCTGGAAGGAAGGCAGAGCATGCAAACCCAAGCACATTGAGCGGCTCTCTCCAACCCTTGAGGCACTGCCAAGCTGGCATGAGTATTGAGCCAGTGTGATTGTGGGCACAGGTACCCCCCAAAAACTGACTACACTGGCTGAGGTCTGCTCTGATCACAGAGCCTGCTGAGGTGTCCTCAGTGACAGACTGGCTGCTGGGGAGGAAACAAACCCTGCTGCAACCTGAGCTCAGGGCCTCACACCTGGACGGGCTGTGTTCCCACAGCCCCAGGGCAGCCACCAGAATTCTCTTGCCATGTCCTTTTTTGGGGATAAAGAAAGAGGAAAAAACCCAAGCCCTAATAAAGCAGGTAAGCTGAGGGAATCCCACATCACAGGATGAGCCTGCATGGCTGTGTTCTAGGAGATGGAGGCCTTCTTCAGTGAACCATTGTCCTTGGCTTCCCTCCCTTGGGCTGGTGCAGCTGGGCACCACTATATGCACAAGAGATCCGTAAAAGCAAAGAATCAGTTCAAAGCCCTTCAGATGCAAGGGCATAGCAGCCTAATCAACATTTAAGATATAGCTAGGGATGCTGAGAAGACAGATCAGGAACACTGCCAGGTACAACATAAACTGGCTTTCAGACACCTCCAGACTACCCAGGATCCAGGCCAGCCTGACCCAGCAGGAGCCAAGGCAGGAGGTCCTTTGGAGCAGATTAGCTCCTTCGGTGCAGTCACTTACACACTGGCTCAGAGTATCAGGTTAAAGAGCAGCAAATTAAGTTCTGAAACAGCAAACTGGGAGATTGAAATACCTTCCTAATTAACTGGTAAAGAAACTGATCCGGGGAGTTCTCTATTGCAAGTCGAAGAACCATAACATACCATTAAACAAAACCCAGGACTCCATTCATCTCCATAGGCCTGTGCTGGGATTTAGCTACAGCAACCCCAAGAGCTGTCACTAAATGCTGGAAGGTTCCACAGATGTCTGATCCTTAGGGAGAACAGCCCTATTCCACAGGCAAGAGCACATTCCTCACTGAGAGGAATTTCAGAAAAAAAAGATGGTTTTTAATAACATTGCTGCTCCATGTCAATTCTTGCTCCATTATTTTAGAGATGTTATGGAGCAGGGAACGGGGGAAGTTGACAAAACATCATTGCAAAAGAATCAAGAATTCCCTACTTCAACAAATGCCAGAATTTACAGCCTTTCTAAAGCTCAACAAGAGCAAACAAATTCTTACAACTGGCAGCAAACACACCCCGGAGCTCAGGAAGCAGTTTAGTGACACAGCACAACATCCTGCTCACAGCCAGACCAGACCTTGCCCTCCTCCATGGGAGGGAGCAGCCTGAGCACACCAAGCTCTGCCTGGGGAAGGATGAGGAGCCAGCTGGGAGCTTAGGGGTCAGGGTTCCAGAGAGAACAGGTAAAGGTGACACCACAGTGGGTGCCTGCAAGAGGTTGCCCAGTTGGGAAGAACAAGCGCATCAGGCCCTGTACAAAAAAGAGAGGAGCAGCCCCGTTCACAGGCCAGTTCACAGGCCCTGGTCCCCATGGACTTCAACCAACCGAGTACCTGCTGGAGGGACAAGACAGCAAGATGTAGGCAACCTAGGAGGTTCCCAGAGCACACTAACGGTCACTTCCTCCTCCGAGGGATAGAGGAGCCAGTGAAAGGTGCTCTGCTGGACCTCACACCCGCAAAACACGGGGCACATGTTGGGAGAGCGAAGGTCAAAGGTAGCCTTGGTGAAATTCAGGATCCTAAGGGCAGGGAGGAAAGTAAAAAGCAAGCTGGAGCTCAGGAAAGCAGACTTGGGCATGAAGTCTGCTTGGAGGCCAGAAATCAGAGGTGTACCCAGGGATTAATATGGGGCCCAGTCCTGTTTATCACCTTCATTAATGACTTGGATGATGGGGCAGGGTGTACCCTCAGTAAGTCTGCACGTGATCCCAAACTGGGAAGAGTGACTGATGCCCAGAGGGTCATGCTGACACTCAGAGGGACATGGACCAGGCTGGGAATGGGCTGACAGGAACCTCATTAAGTCCAACAAGGGGAAGTGTGAAGTCCTGCACCTGAGAAGGAACAACCCCACACACCAATACATGCTGGGGGTCACCAGCTCGACAGAAGAGGGCCTGGGGGTTCCTGGGGGTGCCAAGCTGAACAAGGTGCCTCTGCTGCCAAGAAGGCAAATGGTATCCTGGGCTTCATGAGGCAAAGCAGTGCCAGCAGGTCAGGGAGGTGATCCTGCCCCTCTGCTCAGCGCTGGTGAGGCCACAGCTAGAGTCCTGTGTCTAGCTCTGAGTGCTCCTCAGTACAAGAGACACATAGGCACACTAGAGAGAGTGAGTCCAATGAAGGGCCATGAGGATGAATAACTGATTAACTTACTGGAGCAACACTCACAAGAGGAAAGGCTCTCCCATGTGAGTCAGGACTGCTTAGTCTGGAGAAGGCTTGGGGGGGACCCTGAAAGGGTATTTAAACAGCTGAAGAAGGTATAAAGAAAGTGGAGCTAGGCTCTTTTCACTGCTGCTTGATGCCAGGACAAGAGGCAAGGGGCACAAACTGAAATACAGGAGATTCCCCACGAACATCAGGAAACACTTTTTCCACTGACAGCGTGCCTGGGCACTGGAGAGACTGTGGGTTCTCCATTCATGGAGATATTCAGAAAGCCATCTGGAAACAGTTCTGGGCAACTGGCTCTGAGTAGCACTGGATGAGGAGGGAGATTAGACCAGACGACCCCCAAGGTGCCTTCCAAGCCTGTGAATGTATCTCTGCTCCACATACAAAACCACAGTGCGCTGAGGTGTTCTCAGAGCTCACTGCAGGGCTCTTGCTTACAGTCACTGAGGCGATTCCTCTGATTTGGGTAAGAGAACTAACTTCACAAAGTCTCAAACCATGGCCCATTCTTCTGCCACATCTTCAATGGCTCTTCACTTTCAGAGCCTATCTTGGCTCCAGTGCACCCAGAAGGAGTGTGGGTGAGCTGTGTAAGCTCAGCACTCAGGCATCTGCTTCAAAAGGACCAGGAGACCTGAAAGCATCTTGCTGGTATATTCTCAGGCCTTGTTCCTCACTCAGATACAGGGAGAAAGCAGCTTCTAGGATTTAATTTTTTAAAACCAATAAAATCTCCCTGAGGTTTGAGTGGTTTCATAGGACTGTGTTCTTTAGGTCAGAGATAAATTTCTGCAGCAGTAGATTTTGTTGCAATTACAACCACCTCCTCACTGCAGCAGAAGCTGATTATTGAGGACAGCGCTTACAGAACCTGTATGTTGTTACCGGGTACCATGGGGCTGTAACTGGCATCCTGAAAGAAAATGGTTATTGCAGATGAAGGTCAGAGCCACATCTGCATGTCTGAATTTCAGCACATCTGGCTTATTGTGGTAGGCCCCTTTTGGCAAGAAATAGAACATCAAATTGCCAGACCATAGAGAAAACTATGTGATCTACAGAAGAAACCAAAGCAAGCCAGGGATGCCAGGCTGCAGAGGAATGTCAATTTGCAGGGATGTGCTGCAAGGCCTTCTCCCAGGGAAACAGAGCTGTTCTTACTGCACTGGGTACCACTGTCAGCAAAGGATGAAGCTGTGAACAAGTGTGGGCTCTGTGAAAGCCCAAAGGGGTCTCTTTTTCTGCCCCCACCAGCTCACTGACACTGGAAGGCTACCAAGACTGGGGACAGAGTGCAAAAGGACATCAGAGCATCCAAAAACATGTCAACTCTAAACCAAGGAGCAGGGTTCTTGCACCCCTGTTCAACACATTTGCCTTTTTATACAGTTTGCCTGTACCTATTTGCCTCTACTGACCGACGCTCTGGAGCAGAGAAGTCCCTGTGAAAGATCCAGCCTCCTGCCCACAGCAGAACTGCAGCTCCAGAGCTCTCAGGGCACTTCCCTTGGCCAGTCCCTTGGCCAAACCCAGCATGGTCAGGCTTGGCTCTCACGACAATTTCTTGTTAAACACAGAAAAATATCCCAGCTCAGCCACAGCCATGAGCAAGACACTTTGTAGGCCAGCATGCTGCCACCAACCAATATTTTTTTCCTTGCCTTTTTTTTTTTCTTTAATAAAACATCCACGTGTTCTGCCATCACAAGGGATGATGATTCAGGCTGACCTGCATTAGATAGAAATCGAGCCTCACACACAGCACTGATTTAAAGTTGCTGTGGTTGAACTAGAGAACACTGAATCATGACAAAGATGTCAAAAGATGCAGAATCCACCACATTCACAGATTAGCAGTGTCAGTGTTTAATTACTCTCTTGGTTAATCCAGTGTTGATGACATGAGGCAGCAGGCAAGGAACATACTAAGCAAAGGGATGCAGAGCCTGTGAGTATGCTTAGGTCACCTCTTAAGAGACAGTCTGCTTTCAGACAGCTCACTACACATTCTCTTGTCCGAGCAGCTCAGTATACACAATGCCCTTTCCCTTACTTTTTGGTTAAAAAACATCAAAGCCAGGAAAAGAAAAAAAGGGAAAAAAAAAAAGAAAATCCACCTTATGGCATAAGCACAGCTCTGCCATTTGGAGGAGATAGACAGTTACAGAGTCACAGACCAGTTTGGGTTGGAAGGGACCTTAAAGCTCAGCTTATTTCAACCGCTCCGCACTGAGCATCTTCAACTGCAGCAGGTTGCCCAGAGGCCCGTCCAGCCTGACTGGAAATGTTTCCAGGGATGAGGCATCCACCACTTTTCTAGGCAACCTATGCCACTGCCTCACCACCCTCACGGTAAAAAACTTCTTCCTTATACCTAGTCTGAATCTCCCCTTCTTTAGTTTAAAACGCACCTCTTGTCCTATTGCAACAGGCCCTGATAAAAACTCTGTCCTCACCTTTCCTTGAATCCTGAAAGGCTGCAATAAGGTCTCCCCAAAGCCTTCTCTTCTCCAGGCTGAACACGCCCAGCTCTCCCAGCTTGGCTCCAGAGCAGAGGGACTCCAGCCCTTGGAGCATCTCCTTGGCCTCGTCTGGACTCGTTCCAACAGCTCCACGTCCTTCTGATGTTGGGGTCCCCGGAGCTGGAGGCAGCTCTGCAGGGGTGTCTCACCTGAGGGGGCAGAGGGGCAGAATCCTCCCCTCCCCACTGTCCACGCTGTGGGATCAGCCTAGGGCACAGGGGGTTTCTGGACTGGGTCATGTTCAGCCTCTCCCCCACCAGGACCCCCAAGTCCTCTCCAGGGCTGCTCCATCTGTTCATCCCCAGCCTGGACTGATACCAGGGGTTGCCCTGACGCAGGTTCTACACCTTTAGCTTGGCCTTGGTGAACCTCATGAGGTTCCCATGGCCCACCTCTCATGTTTGTCCAGGTCCCTCTGGATGATATCCCGTCCCTCAGGAGTGTCACCTGCACCCTCAGCTTGGTGCTGTTGATAAATTTGCTGAGGGTGCAGTCGATCCCACTGTCTGTGTCATGGATGAAGACATTAAGCAGCACTGGTCCCAGTACAGACCCCTGAGGGACACCACTCGTTACTCATCTTCACCCGGGCTTTGAGACATAGATCACTACTATCTGGATGTGATCATCCAAACCATTCCTTATCAACCCATCAAATCTCTTGCCAATTCAGACAGAAAATGTTGGAAAGAAACATTAGACATAGACAAAGAAAAAGAAAGGCACCCCTTAAGAGGTTTTTGGAATCTGCAGGCAACCATGCAGTGACACTCCCAAAGGAGCATGACCCTCTCCATCCTTCCTTCCAAAATTCCACAGAGCTATGGATTGCCCCCAAGTGCCTTTCAGCAAACCCCAGATCCCTTTATAGTGTCTCAGGAATGGCAGTACCAGGTCACAAAGGAGCTTGGCCATGCTTCGGGCCTCTGCAGAAGGGAAATATTCATTAAGGAAAACATAATATCCCTGCAAAGTGCACTGTGTTCCAGAAGGAAAATACTGCAAATAATTCAGTGTGTTTGGCCAGAAGGAAAATCCCTTCCTGATCCAAAGGATCCAGTGGTTTAACCTGTGCGCAAAGCAAGACAGCAACACCAGGAAGGTGATAACCTGCTTTTCCTGCTGTTCCTTCTTTCCAGGGAGCAGTGTTTGTCACTAAATGGGAGACAGTGAATGCTAGGATTGACCATAACGTACCCAGAAAAGCTCAGGGACAGCTCTGGAATCACTGTCTGAATGGTTGCAGCAGGCTAGCCAGGCTGCATATCCAGGTGTGTCCCTGTCCCACCCTCCCTCCACCCTCCTTTCCTTACCTTTCACTATCCACACGGTGTTTGGCCTGTGCTTTCCCTTTGTCCTTCTGCGGTGCCGAGTCTTCCAGAAAACTGTGGTCCAGGCTGTCCTCGGGAACAAAGTCCTCCACGCTCTGTACCTTGGCAGGGGCTGCAGGGTCAGGGGGAGGAGTGGCAGCAGTAGGATCTGCATTAGTGACAGGAGTTGTAAAACACGGGGGTCAACACAAGCAAGACAGAAATTGGCTTTTTCCAGATCTGTGCTGCCCAGGGTGGCAGCAACCATGAGGCAGAGGGAGGTTATAAACAGGATATAAATCAGCCCAGAGTCTGGCATGAAGGCACTTACAGATCACACATGGCTGCTGTGGTTTAGAATTGAAAACCTCTGGCACGGGCTGGCTCTGCTCTCCAGGGAGGGCTGCAATTGCCTGTACCACAGGTTTTATACCTGTGCTATGTGCACTGCTCCTGTGGGATGTCCCCTCACTATTCTCTTACCTTTTCCAGACTGTTTGGTTCACTCTCTCCTATCCTCTTGCTTTTTTCAGCTGTAACTGTCCAAGGCAGAATTGTTCACCCTGTGCTTTTAGATATCCTGTGTAACCAAATGCTCAAGAGCTACCTCAAGAAGAGGCTTACTTTAATACAGTTTATTTGTAGAGACACCTTTGCCCATCTTTAAGGTATCAGGATGAAAGCTCATGAAATTAGCATAACTGAGAAGCCTGAAGTGATTAACCATTTTGGAATCTGCAGTATTCAACCTTTTTCCTCTGCCCACACTGCAATTTACATCTAGGCTCTTTTCGTTTGGATGAACAAGATTTGTGTCTTATTTTTTTCCTGCTTTTTGCTCTCCTAGCACAGCTTTCAGATCACTTTTGCATACAAACGCTATCACTAATGCCATAGAATACCGTTGGTGTAAGCTAAACCCCAGCCAAAAGAATTAGTTCTCCAAGACTTCAAGGAAAAGCTTAAATAGCAGCTCCCAGAAAAATCCAAGGATTACTTGGTGACAGTGATTTTTTGGCTGCTTTCCAGTGAACTAGTCCCTGGGTACATTCCAGTGGAGGTGCAGACTCTTGGCACACTACAGAAACCTCAGAACACCGACACATCAGCTCTTCCTGGCTGCCTTTTGTAACCCTCCCTAAGCATCCTGAGATACCAGGGGCTGCAGGTCACAAGCCCATAACAGTTCTCAAGCTAAGTGAGAGTTAAAGGAAGAGAAGAAAAAGAAAAACCCCAAACCCAAATGCTGTAACACTGGTAGTAGACCACTTGTCTCTTTTTTCCTACAGATCAATACAACAAAGGTTTTTTTATTGACAAGGAATTTCTAACATCTGCTCCTCTTTGGTCTTTGTTTTTTTTTTTTTTTTTTTCTGGGTAGGAAGAGTCATAAACAAACCAAAATGGGTACACTCTGTCATATCTGGGAAGAGGTTCGTGATGCAGAACACTGTGTGCAGATCCATTTCAACATCTGAAATTGCAACCGGCGTTCCCAGCACCTCCTCCTTTCTCTCTGTAAGTGCCTTGGCAGCACTGTGAGTTCGAGGGATTGACAGTGTGAGAGGGAAGGTATTTCCAAACGGTGACTCAAACCATGTCAGGATTTTTAGGCAGTGCCAGCTCTGCAGCTCCAGTCAGCTTTGCAAACAGTGAATGTGACAGGCAAATTAAGGTCCAGATCAGTAAAATGACATGCAACAAACCCCCGATGCCTCTGCCTCATCACTCTGTCCAGCAGAGTTGGGACTGAGGGCTAAGCTGCTCCACGCTGCACCAGTGCTGAGGCAGGAGCTAAGCCCAACTCCCTCCTCCCGGAGCAGCTCTGAAGGAGCGTTATTTCCCCGGAGGGGGATCCGCTGCGGAGCCTGGACCTACGTGATCATTTCTGGCTGAATAACCTTTAAACCCAGCACTCCGCTGCTCTCTGCTACACACAGGACCCTCCGAGCTGACACACTTGTGCAAGGACAGCACTTCAAATGGCTTCTCTAACCATTTTTCTTGCTATTCAAGAGGTGTTTGTGCTCCTGGTAACAACCTGACAGTTATTTTATTTATTTTATTAGTGTCTCCTGTGTGTTGAGGACCTTCCTCCTGAAGCATGCCACAGCCACTACCCAGCTGGCTGGGCACAGTCCCCATCCAAGCCCAGCACAGAGACAAACCAAAATACTGATCAGGAGAAAAACAGAGAGTGACAGCCTCGCTGCACACACACTGGGCCTTCACACACTTGTCTGTTCAGCCTCTCACAGGGAAATAATGAAAATAAAACAGAATCACAGAATGTTCTGAGTTGGAAGGGACACACAAGGATCATCAAGTCCAACTCTTAAGTGAATCCATATGGGGATGAACCCATGGCCTTGGCGTTATCAGCACCAGCTCTAACAAGATGTGCGAAACATCCTCTGTCCCAGCCCAGAGACAGCGAAAGGCCCACAGGTGACATCCTGCCTGGACCTGCACCAGCACCTACCTGGCTGGGGAGGAGAGGGCTCTGAGGCAGGGGACGTCCCAAACAGCCGCGCAATAATGCCACGTTTGGGCGGGGGGGCTGCGGCCGGGGGTGCCGGCGCAGGCACGTGGGGCTGTGGGGCCTCGGGCGCAGGCACCGGTGAAAAGGATGGTGGGGGGTCAGGAGAGATGGTGGAGCCTGTGGCAAGTGCCGGCTGTGGGGTGCCAGGACTAGAGCTGCCTGTCGACGTGGAGCTCGGAGGTACGATGGGCGACTGGGAGCCAGAGGAAGGGCTCTGCCCGTTCGTTGTTAGTGGTGACGTGTGTCCTTGACTTCGGGCTTCCATCATTTCAAGAAACCTGTAGGGAAGACAAATTACAAATATAAGGAATCAAGAATCATATAATCACAGACTGGTTTGTGTTGGGAGGTACCTTAAAAGCTTATCTTGTTCCACCTCCCTGCCATGGGCCAGAACACCTTCCACTAGCCCAGGTTGCTCCAGGCCCCGTCCAACCTGGCCTTGGACACTTCCAGGGATGGGGCAGCCACAGCTTCTCTGGGCAACCTGTGCCAGGGCCTCACCACCCTCACAGGAAAGAATTCTTTCCCAATATCCCATCTAGCCCTGCCCTCTGGCAGTTTAAAACCATTATCCCTTGTCCTGCCACTACTTGCCCATATAAAAAGTCCCTCTCCCTCTTTTTATAAGCCCTTTTTATTTGTCTATGTGCTGAGCTGGGAGGGTAGGGGTCTGCTTCCAGCTGGGCTGGGAGGGTATGGATCTGCTTCCAGTGATGCTGTGACTCCCCAGGCCACATGAGTTAAACTCACCCAACCTGCATTGAGGTGTGGAGAATCCCAACCTGCTCTGCACTGCAAGATGAAACTTATATTTTCAACACTACTGGGAACTCCCTGGATAGACAGACTATATGCCAGGGTTTCGAATGCAACCTTAAGTCAGTTGTTGGACATATGTCTCTAAGGGACTATGTGCTATAGGAATGGCACAGTTTTAGATTCTGCAGAAGGGATCAGTGTTCAAGAAAACTCAACTGCTATAATAACCTCTTTATCACTCAAGAACGGATTTGAGAGGAGAATCCTTGAACATCAAAAGAAAAGAGCCGTCCTGAGGGCTCAGCGAGGACTGAGTGGCATCACCCTTCTTTCAGTGTTCAGATGCACAGGCAGGCTCTTCCCCTGCACACACTCCCCCTCCGTGTGGGAGGCAGTGGAGCCAAGCAGCAAGAGTTCTGCAGCAGGCTGTGGTCCTGGCTGTGTTCCTGCCTGGAAGAGCATTAAAGCCTGTACTGCTAGAGAATGAAAAGCTCTTTTTCCAAAAGGAGCCCAAGCCTAACCCAAGCCTCCCTCTGCATCCTGCAGGGTCAGCAGCCTGTTCACAAGCTGTGAGCAGAGAAACACGGACAGAGAGACGGGCTCTTGCCATGAAATGGTCTCAAAATCAGATCTGCTACATGCTGCACAGCTGAGAGATACAGAGAGGACACCCAAAGTGAAGCATCCCGTATAAAATCCAGCACGTCACGGTCTCGCCTCTCATTTCATTAAGCCTAATGAATTCGAGCACAGAGGCTCTGGGTTCAGCTGCTTCTGCAGGACAGACTCGATTGTGCTTCAGGCAACGAAAATGTCAAAGTAAAGCTCCTCTCCCATACAGAGCATGACCTCGTCCTTCAGGGACCTGAGCCAGCCCGAACCTACCCTGGACTGACTGCTGAGCAGAATGCAAACAGCAGAGGCTAAGAGACTCTAAACCTCCTTGAGATATAATTTCCTATTTTAAGTAGTAACTTGATATACTTTTAAGGAAGAAACTAATATACTTTGTGACCAGCAGTGTCGGGAGCCCTGGGGAACAACATCCCAACGAAGCTGTTACTTGAATTGGAAAACCAGCAGTCCTTCCTAACTAAAGAACTGGCTAAAGTGGAGATCAAGGGCAGCACTAAAAAGCAGAATTACTGACAAGAGAAATCCTTGGCAGAGTTCCTCAAGGACTGGCTTTGAGATATATTTCAGCATTTCAGTGGAGCAGCACAGAGACCAGAGAAATGCTCATGAGGTGCAACTTGGGAGGCAACATCAGCAGAGAGGAGAATAGAGACAAGATACAGATAGAACTGGATGATCCCAAGTAACAGAAATAGGAAGAAATTAGGCAGTACAAAGGAAATCTTCATCTGCTCAAGGCCGAGGAAACAAGTGTTCCTGCTCCCAGTTCACCAGATGAGAATGGTTGGGAAAGACTCACCTCACTCATTTCAGAAGACTGGACTAAAGACTGCAATTGCAGCGGTGCAAGAGCCTGGCTCTCACACTCTGTCCACTGCCTATCCCCTGAGATCACTGTCATAGAATCACAGAACCATGGAATATCTTGAGCTGAAAGGGACCCACAAGGATCATCCAGTTCAATTTCTGGCTCTGCACAGGAGACCCCAACAATCCCACCATCTTGCCTGAGTGTTGTCCAAATGCCCCTTGATCTCTGGCAGCCTTGGGGCCATGACCACTGCCCTGGGGAGCCTGTTCAGTGCTCCACCACCCTCTGGGGGAAGAACCTTTTCCTAATATCCAACCTAAACCTCTCCTGACATAGCTCCAGCTGTTCCCTTGGATCCTGTCACTGGTCACAGACAGCAGAGACTGAAGCTGCCCCTCAACTGCCCCTCGTGAGGAAGCTGCAGACTGCCAAGGCATCTGAATCAGTGCAATGCTGTGGTGGGCTCACTGATGCTTCCACTAGGATCAAGGACAAGGCTTATATGTATATTCCACCCAGTACACTGGCTAGACCAAAATGAGGTCTTGGCAGAGCTAAGCTCAGAGCACGTGACACAGGATCCATTCCCCATCCTCCCTCTCTGTGGATGAGTAGCTGTGGTGAGCTGTGCGACAACACGTTCCACTGAAAATGATGCATGGATTTGTCATGCACCAAAGAGAAAACATAAAGGAGTTTAACTCCTGCACTGAGCTCTGTGGAGACTGCATCAGGTTTGTTTGGAAGGTGCACAATACATCACACATGCTGCAAGAACATAATAGTGTGTACTCAATACATCTGTGTCACTGCGCTGCAGGGCCGAGCCATCGCACATCGCTCCTTTCCTGAGGAGAGGGGACCAGACGTGGTTCAGCATCCCTCTGGGCAGGGTACACACGGCATCTGCGGGGAGGGAAAGGCAAACCAGGGGTCCCTGCAATTCAGCCCTCATCCAACAAAGCAAAGACTCTATATCCACAAACCACGTGACTTGCCACGGCCTGAAAAGTCGTCCAAGAGCTTTGCCTGCACGGGATGTGCAGCTCTTCAGCTCCCCGCCACATGCGCTCAGTGCTGAATTGTGCCATCCCTCCCCTCCCAGCTTTGATCCAGGGCTCCTGGCGAGCCAAAGGCAGGATGGCTGAATAGCTCTGCTTTGTGGTACTCACTCCTCCTCCTCCCAAGCCCTACTCAGGGTTAAAGACTCCTGCCTTCCAACTGTGAGGAGAGATTAATCCCAGCTGCTCTACATGCACCCCCACTCCTGTTTATAGCAACAGCAATCCTGGATGGAAGCCTGCAAGTCTGGTCACTGCTGCACCCACAGCCAAGGTACTGCTGCCAGCACCACTCGCTCTCCTGGTTGAGCTGGGCTCCCTGGCTGTCTGTGTGAGCACCTAAATCACCAACGCCACATGAAGCCAGAACGAACAACCTCTGAGTCTCAGGTCGCTGGGTCCCACCATCAAGGCAACTGGGTGACTCAGGCAGGATAAGATGATTGTACTCTGAAGACTTAGGAACAAGGAGATACAAAGAATATATAGAGTCACTTTAGGATACAGAATACAAAACTCAGAGTACTTAAAGCTGGACTCAACAAAGCATAGGACACTCTTAACAATACCAGGGTATTTGAAGATTTACTGTACTTGGTTCTACTAAAGCTGCTGATTTTGGAAACAACCTGCTTTGTTCTGGGAAAGTAGCCAGCTCCAGAGGGAGGGAAGGCTGAGACTACCACCTGTTTCTCCTGCAGAAACACATGAATTTTAAGAGCTGGAGGGAAAAAACACACTACATAACTGAAGTATAAAGAATGTCATCCTTCCCTCTAGCTCAGCCAGGTTGGAGAGTAACACACATGCAGGCTTGGTCTGCACCTGTGCTCCTACACCTTGCTCACCTACAGCGTGTGAAGGACATAACAGGAGTCAGCAAGTTCTTTCAATAGGAAGATACCAGTGGTTATTTGGGGACATCACAACACAGGCTCTTGCCCTAGCACAACGCCAAGGAAAGAAAGCTGTGGCACGTGTGCTTCATGTCACCTCCCTCATCTCCAACCAGACACGTGGCCCAAGCCTTGTGCTGTGACACTGGGGAAATCAGGGTGGTCTGACACTCGTTCTACATGGGCTGCATAAACCAGCTCTGCTGAGCTTTTATATTCAGATCTTCTTCTGTGAGGGAGGTGGGTGGAAAACCAGCACACATGAAACCCTGCCAGCAAGCTCGCAGTAATTTCCAGGGTGGAGGTGTCTGAGCGTCCTCCACACTTTGAAAATACTACATAATGCATGAATGCTTTCTCTGGCTTTATACACACTCCTCAGAGGCACAAGTGTGGCTGTTTTGGGAACACACTGGGCCAAACCTGTCATGTGTGTGTTTTTTCTCAGATTTTATACAATCTGTCCACTTCCTCGTTCTATCCATCAGTCCTTTGCAAAGGGACTCACTCAAAACCCTACTGCAGAACAAGCAGCTTCGTGCCCACACTGGATGTAGTAGACCAGGTCCCAGTAAAGCACAAGGTAAACTCATGCCTGAGTACTCTTGTTCCGTTGGGATACAGAGACAGCAAATGTGCCACGCACGTCCAGGTGGGTCATCTGTCCTCACCCCATGGGCTCCTTGTTTGCCTTTCAGTCCCTCCATTTCAGACAAGTCCAAAATATCCTCAAACCCCTGAATAATTCACTGGAGGTTGGACCTGCTCGCAAGCAGAGACTTCTATGCAATTTTAAAGATGAACACGCTCTGTGGGAACAAAAATTCATCAGAGCCTGAGGTTACTATTGCTCTGCTCCCAGGGCAAACACAAAAAGACTTGTTAGCCTCACAACTTCCTAAAATGAACACAATGCTTGTGTTCATTTCCTATTCGAGATGGGAGCAGCTTTTTGGCTCCTGGTTCTAATGTGCTGTGATCAATTTTTCAAATGTATTTCATGTGGCAAGAAAAGCTTTGGGTTATTTTATTAATTGTGAAAATGAAGATTAATTGGCTGTATGACATCAATTTAACTGGGGTTAGTGATGGTTAGATTTCCACGTGCTTGTTTTGAGCTCATTAAAGGTACTGCACCTGATCCCCCCGATCAGCCCAGGCCACTGAATATGGAATCAATGGCCAAGCAGGGTTTAATCATGCTGTTGTCCTGTTTTCCACCAGACAAAATGGATGCAGCAGGGTAACCCTCTGCTTCATAACATACAGGACATGCACCATGTCCCCCACTTCTCTAGCAAGACCGATGATGACATGTTTAGATGCCCTTAATTCTTAATGCAGCACCCCACAAAAGTATGACCTCGTTAGAGTGCCATTCCAGTTCAGGCTGGCTCCTGACCTGTCTGATGGCCACAGGGATTCACAGCAAGAGCAGAGGATAAAGGTGGGGCATGGGGAAGAGAAAGCAGGAGTGGGTTTACTTTCCCCACTGGTAGCTGGTGTCATTCTGGACCAGCCAAGGATACCAGAGAACAGGTCCAGCAGCAGCTCCTCCTGCCACAGTGCTGGTGTTACTCAGCACCACAGTCTTCCCAAAATTATGAGCTGTGCTCAACGTGGATAAAACAACCAGGCAAATAAAACCCCAACCCCTCAATCAATGACTCTGCAGTGACTAAAGCTGTCGCTGCAGGGAGCATGTATCCCCAAAGCAGAGTCCTCAGCAGGGCAGCCCAAATGCCCTTCTGCAGCCTGGCATCCACAGGCTGAGAGGAGACAGCCTCAAGTTGTGCCAGGGGAAGGTTTAGTTTGGATATCAGGGAAAATTTCTTCACCAAAAGGGCTGTCTGGCCCTGGCACCATTCTGTGAGGGGACAGGCACACTGAGCATAAACAAGTTCTCCTTGTGACAGAAGATAAGCTGGGTACAATTAAAAATGCAGAAATTGAGCAAATTAAGTACAAATTCTGAACAGCATAAGATAAGTAATTGCTCTTTCTTTAATAAGAATTTAAGAACTCAAAAAAGGCTGAAATGTGTTTTTAGCAGCATTGAAAATGTAAAATCTGAGAAAGCACAGAGAAAGTACCAGAGCCAGAGGTGTGGCAGGCAGAGAGAAGCCTAAGCACAGGGAAGGAGCTGGAAGCATCTGACCCTGTCTCCCACGGGCAGTGGCTGCCCGGGATGGCTTACGTAAGGTGGATGAGGCAGCGTCGTGTGCCACCTCGTGTTGTCTCTGGGATCCACATTTTGGAGAAGTGATGTTTTTGTCCTCAGGTCCCCTGCTGCAGCAGGAGGAAGGGCTCTTGTTCTCTTTCTGTTCTCACAGAGCCAAATTTAGAATCAGTCATTGTGACAGAGCAGCTACCAGACGTGCACAGGGTGAATGGAATAACCGAGATGTCCTAGCGCTGTCACCTCGCCTTGCTCCATGGCCTGATTTTATGGCAGGAGAGCAGGAATGGCCTCTGAGGAAGTGCTGCAGCATCCACACCATGGCCTGTGGCCCCAAATGCCTACGGTCACCTCGCCTTGCTGTGCAATTTGGGTGATCCACAGCAGAACTCCCAGCGCTGTCCAAACTGAGGCAACAAACACAAGGGCCTTGTGACAGGAGGTTGTAGCCAGGTGGGGGCCAGTTTCCTCTACCAAGTAACAAGCACTAAAAAGGAACATGCAAAAGAGGCCTCAAATTGCACCAGGGGAGGTTTAGGTTAGACGTTTGGGAAAATTTCTTCACAAAAAGGGTGACTAGGCGTTGGAACAGGCTGCCCAGGGCAGTGGTGGAATCACTGTCCGTGGAAATGTTCAAAAAACACGTGGATGTGGAATTTGGGGACATGGTTTAGTAGTGGTCTTGGCAGTGCTGGGTTAACACAGTTGGACTTCATGATCTTAGAGGGCTTTTCCAACCCTAATGATTCTATGATCTGCCAAGGGTCACCAAGCCAAACCACATCAACGCACATGCTGCGTGCAACAGGGTGAGTGGCAGCAGGTGCTCACTCAGACATCCACTGAAGTAGCATATTAAACATTATAATCCCAAAATTATGGGCATCTGACAAGCATGGATGCAAGGATCTTCCCAAACCCTCACTGCTTTTAATATTTTAGCAACTCCTCCTTTGTCAGGCACCATGGCTGTGGTATTTCTGAGGCCATGTTAAGCTAATTCTGCAGCCTGACAGTGCCATCAGCTCCCCAGCAGCTAGGCAGTGTGGTCACACTGGATGGGATGATCCAGTCTAATACCCACTGCTGGAATCAGGAGGTCTGGCCACTACTTTGCCAGTACCATACTGCTGCTGCTGCTGCCTTTAAGATCTGGTGTTTGACAGATGCTTCTCAGAGCCAGCCCAGTGCAGATTAACCCAGAGGTAGATATGGCATAAGATAGTTTTCATAGAGTTACAGAATCCCAGACTGGTTTGGGCTGGAAGGTACCTTAAAGTTGATCTCATTGCAAACCCTGTCACGGGCAGGGACACCTTCCACTACACCATGCTGCTCCAAGCCCTGTCAAGCCTGGTTTTCTCCTGGATTGGTGAGCTGAAGTGACACACGTGGAGGTCCAGCAAATTCTAAAACTGATGGAAGGGTGAGAGGTGACGAAGCAGGAAGATCTTGGGCTGTGAGTTTGAAATAGCTCTGCCAACTCTTAATTCTTTTAAGTATCTTCCCATTACTGAAGCAGTACAAACAAAAGTATGGAAAACCATCTGACAGCACAGCCCACACAGCCCAGGCCCTTGGAGCAGGGACATCAAGAGAAATGCTGAAGGCATGAGGAGACTAACTGGTCCCTGAGGAATGAGGTGAACACTCTGGAAACAGCACTGTTTTGTGCCCATTGGGGTCTTTCAATGCTCTCAAAGGAAAACACACTGAACAAGGTTATAGAACTCGAAACTTGGGCTGAAAAATGCTTGTCAAAATGGCTGTGCATGAATATTTCATAATCATCGACTCCAACTCCCAAATAAAGCTACTGTAAATAATACTTTTTCAATACATTCTGAGGCTGACTTTTCTGGCTCGTACATTGCAATAAAGGCCTTGTGATGGGAATTCATGGAATATGGATTCCTGTTCACTGTGCAGATGTACTGGCTTTGTGGGGCTAAATATGGCAAACACTGTTCCAAGCAGCAAGCACACAGTCAGGGCACAGAACAAACACAGGGGAGAGGAACCAGTCACTTTTTCAAACTAGAAATGCACCCAGGAGTTTAGGAGTGCTCAATGGAACAAAAGACAGCAGTGTTGTTGCTATTACGTTCTGCCTATCGCAAAACACACAATACACAGGAATACAACAGCCAGAAGGAGAGGAACCAGTTTGTGTACTGAGCCACTGAGAGCTGGAAAATATCCCCTTTCAGCAATTCATCTACAATCCCTTCAGCATGTGCTGGCTCCAGGTGTGCTGCTCAGCCTCACCTCCCCTGCCCTCCCCTGATCACATGCCTGTAAGAACCAGAGCCTTTCACAGGGATCCCCAAGTGCATGCTTTATTTCAGGTGATGCCACTTAAAAGTGACATTTTATCCAAAGAATCCCTAAATGTCACACACTAGACCCTTCAACCTGGCCACATGTCACAACTGGGGCTGCCCAACATTCACGTGACACCCAAACAGTTAGAAAAGACAGCTCAGTGACATACAGTTCGTAGTTTTGGTCTTCAGTCTCTTGCTGCACTGACAGCTCCTCCAGAGTTGCATCAATATCCAGCTGATTTGTTTCCAGCTGCCGCAGCAACGTCTCCCTCTGAGGAAAGGAAAACAAGCCAGGTCTGAGCAGGGAAGGCTCATTGTAACATATCTCTGAGCAGTGAGATCCTGTGTCACCACTCTACCACAGCAACGTGCTGAACAGGAGCACTGGCCCTGCTTACAGTGTCAACTGAAGTACAGAACACAGAGGAAGCAGAAGCAAAAGTAGATAATCCAGAAAGTTTATGTATAAGAAGTGCCTTGTTCTGTGAGCTGTTCTCAGCCATAAATCAATAATGTGTGATTTCAGACACTGCATCACTAGTTACACTTGGATAAAAGATTCAGCTCCTGTGGAGATCAGTTGTGCAACCCATTCACTTGGGTCTTTAATTTTCCCTGTGCTAAAACAGCCCCTCTGTGAGCAGGACTCAGCTGATGCAAAACCTCCCAGTAATTTTCTTTTTGCTGTCATGGTAGATGAGTGAGCATAACTGTCAACCAAGCGACACTTCTGAAGTCCCTGCCCCTCTGCCTCCTGTTGCTGCCCCACAGATGGGGGACAGACATCCCAGTCCATTTCAAATGGAAAGTAAAGTGAGTCGGCTTCACTAATGTAACCCAGGGCAGCCCCATTCAGTCCTTCACTTCCCACATTTCCAACAGAACCCAAGCAAAAATCTCAGCTGAGGGGAAGTGCTGGCTTAACAGACTCCCTCCTCCTGACAGCCCGGATGGCAGTGAGGAGAGATCAATAACCACAGGCATTAGGCTGAGCCAGCTCCAAGGGCTCTGCCACAGCCCTGAGCACAGGGCTGACACAGCATCCATTCCTTCAGAAACATCATTCCGGATCCCCTGGACAACACTAGAGCTGTATGTGATACAAATCCTGCCCCAGAGCCCCGTCCCCTCTGCTCAGGCACAGCTGGCTGGCACACAGCTGGGCACTGGCACCCTGCTTGCCTCCTGGGGGGGCTCTGAGCATGGGGCATGCTGACCAGCTCACACCCCGAATTCTGGAGTCAAAAGCCACACTGTTCAGTGTCTAAAAGTATCAGTCCTCCCTCTCCCACTGCCTAGGCACTGTGTGGCCCAGGAGCAGGGACAGCTCGTGCTGAGCTCGGCCGGTGACTCACGGCACTGCACTGTCCCCGTCACAGCAGGTCCATGGTGCCAGGGGTGCAGCCAAGGCAGGAGGAGATGGAAGAGAAACCACACGCTTCCTCCGCATTGCCAAGGTTTTTGCTTTTATAACTGCCTTATCCTCCAAGAACATTTAAGGTTTCCACTCTGACAAATATTTCTGAAGGTTGGCATCAGTAACCATAGTGAATTTTTAATTCCCTGTTTGACAACACATAAACTCACTGCAGGAAGATCCCACCAGACTAAAAGGCCAAAAGGAAATCTACTACATAATTCCTGGAATAAAATCCCTCTGTGAAGACAAACATTTGCATGAAGCAATGGTGTTCAGTCCCTATGTGCACATGCTGCTGGCATTATGGTTTCACAGACATGACAACTTTGAAGCCATCAAGACACTGTACAGATTTTAAGAGCAAACAACTCATCTGGCTCATTCAAACCACACCACGCTGCTGTGATCCAGGGCACAGTCAGGGCACAGCCCAAGCCCTTCATAGAGCGGGCCAATTTATATCAAATTCTATCATGACTGATATCAGCAGACAAGGTTCAAGTAATTTTTATTTTGTATTATAAGACCAGGTGATTCATCACAGGTGATAACCCTTAAACACACTGAAATTTACTGGAAGGCACAGCCTTTCTTGAAGTTTAAGAGCTTCTGTGATCATTTAATCTAATTTACTGCTTCATGTTTACCTTTGCCATTGTGTTAAGAGCTTGGAGCAATTCCTGTTTTCTTTGCTAGGTTATTTTTATTCATCAAATTCAAAAGCTCTCTTCAGACGGAAACTTGACTTCAATTAACATGTATGCAAAGAATTATGAAATCATTACTTAATGTCAATTCCCTTTATCATGGTTTACAGACAAGAAAGATTCAGAAAAATATGCTATACATATTTAAATGTGCTACACTAATCAGAAGTACTAATAAAGATTTTAGAATTCAAATTCTAGATTTTACAACTCAAGATTCAAGAAAATCAAGATTTCAGAAGTAGTAGATGTCATCCTCCTACGTTATTCAGGCAGTATGAGCAAAAATGAGACAAAAAAGGGCAAGTCTGCTGCTTCTTTGTCCCCAGTTTCCTAAGATGGGTGAAATAAATGCTGAGCAAATTAGCTGAGCAAACAGAGACAGAAGGGCTACTGCTCTCCAGGGCTTACCTTAGGCTCTTTGATAATGACTTTTATTAAACAAGTGGTTTGCCTTGCCTCACACTTTGGCATTGAGACACACATCAGGGTTTTATTTATTTCAATTTTCACAGATCACAGTAAATCAAGAATACAGATTTAATTAAGAGCAAGTTTCAACTAATTTTGTAAAAATTCATCACTATTAGCAGACTTCCAAATACGTCAAAAAATGAATCCTATTTTACCACGCTGGTATTAAAATATTAAAGAAACAGCTTATTTTAGCAATAACCCAAAAGAAGGGAATAAATCATATGCTACAGACCAATGCTTTGGCTGAAAGCCACATTCAAGGGCTTCCTGAGAAAAGGCAATTTCAGCTGTCTGCAGAATCCTGTCTCCTTCCAGTGCAGCATCCAGAGGCCTGGGTGACCTGATCCCATTTGTGGGCCACCAGCAATACCTACAGCTAAACTGCATCCTCAGGTTTGCCAACCCTGCCCCTGGAAAGGAACTGATAAATAATTGAAGAGCCCAGGCTGCCAGAGGGAACGTGCTCTGTGCTGGGGGTATGGATTTCAGCCCTGCTTTCTCTGTGAAAGATGCATGACTGTAAGTTGAGCACAGGAATGTGCCACTGACACCAACCCTAAGGGACAGCCTGGGTCCTCGGATACAGCTGGACAACTCTGCCCCTGGAGAGCTGCAGGGGATGTGCTGAGGGACACAGAAACCCTCAGGGCTGAGTAAATCCTATGTGCATTTTACACCTGGCAGCATCCCTCTGCCTTTACCCTGCTCCAAAGTACTTGGGAAAAGACTCCCTTCTGGAGCCTGGTACTGGCAAGAATCTCTGAAGGCATAAGCAGAACCTTTAGGAATTAAATGTAACTGTGATGTTCCTACAAATTCAGCATCATACTGCACTGGATGTTAATCAGGCCCAGGCCTGGTCCCTGTGCACTCCAAGGCAAGATTCTCAATGAGTCTCCAGGAGCAGCAAAGTGCTCCAAGCCAGCTACTGTGGAGCAGCAGAAGGCACTGCCCATAAACCTGTGGCACAAATGCAAGGGGCACTGGAAAATCCAATACAGCCCAACTCGGCTGAAGTTTGACATCGAGTAAAGCCCCAGTGCCTGGGGGGAAGCAACTAAAAGCCTCCGAATGTGCAGAGTCACCTCCCTTGGCACAGAAGGCAAGGCCGGGGACCTTCTGCACACTGCAGGGAAATGGAACAAGGTATTTCCACGGGGATCCTGTGCTGGGATTTTTATCAGAATGAACACCAAAACACCTGCCTGCAATCCCCGTATGAGCACAGAACTGCAGGAATTAGTTTGGACATTGCTGTTTTAAAGGCACAGCCAGGCAGCTCTCCTGGAATGACAGGCACAGGACAACCTCCTCAGGTCCCACCTTCTGTGCTGAGGTGCAAAGAACAGAGCACACATATTTAAAAGCATGGTTTACATGTGCCCATCCAAAACTCCCCTTGCACATTTTGGGAACTAAATTCTAAGGAGAAGTCTTCCCAGGCTCGTTTCTGCAGTATTGAATTATTTAATTACATGAAAGCCACAGGATGTGGGAGCCTAATTACGTGGCACTTGCACCTTCTGGGCTACCTCCACTGGCACCCTGAGCTCACTGAGGAGGAGAACAAATGTGAGCTGCTCACCCCATTCCCTTACCTCTCCTAAGCAACCACCACTGGAATCTCCAAACAACTAAAGGTTATATAAGATTTATTTTTTCTTTACCCTAAAGACCAAGATTTGTTCAAAAAGTTATCTGGTTTTGGTAACCTTATCAAAGTGTCCTAATTGCTTTCAGTCTCAGATTAATAGATCATGTTTACTTGTACACAGCACATTTAGATGAAAGGTCCCCTAAGACTCACACCCTGAAGCTGCTTCCAAGCAAACCCAATACTACAAACGCTTCAGAATTTCTTGCTTATTACTTTGGCCAGGGAAAATCCTGGCATACACAGACTGTCAACAGTATCACCATGAGCAGCTTCCAGAAACAACTCTGGCAGGAAGGCTTTGTCTCTTATCAACATCAGAGAAAAAAAGGACAGATCTACAAAACTAACAGAAGTAACCTGGGAATTAGTTCTGCGTGATTTCCACCAGACACCCCTTTACCAGTGGAGCTGAGGTTATAAACCCAAACATTTCACCAGCACCATGCTGGCAGATTTCAATCTTCTCCTCTGAGCAGCAAGTTGGATTTATAGCTCAGGTTTCTACAACTGCCCCCTAAAAAAATTATTGTTTGACTTGTTTTACTGGGATTTAATACATCCAGTTCTCTTATTCCAGTTCTTTCTGCTCTGCAGCCTGAGGACATGGTAACATCTACTAACATATTCCAGCTCCTTCTGAACTAGCATTCCAGTGGGGATTATTTGTATAGAAATACACATGGACACTTCAATTACTGGTGAAAGATAATCAACTGCCTATTTTTTTCCCATCCAACAGAAGACAATGACACAACATCATATGTGCCCTTAGAAAGCATAAACTATTGATCCCAAAGGATCCCAGTAGGATCACCCCAAAAGTGCCTCTTCTAAAGGTCCGCAGCTGAGAATCCCATCCTTCTCTGCCCATCTGGCCTTTGCCTTTCTCTTCAGCCCCCCCAAGAATCCTCAATTATGAAGAAAATATGAGATTAGATCCGTGTGCACAGGATCCAAGCAGATCTATTACCGTTAGGGCAAATATTTTCAGCAAACAGAGGTTCCTGAACTGTTCAGTTCATGACCAAATCTCAGCTCGTCTGAGTTTTAACTGAACAGAATTGAAATCCAAAGTTTAATAAACGTGTCTGTGCAACATTTTTGACTTGGTAACTGCACCACTGGATGCCATTTTCATGTCAGTGTTACTCATTCCCTTGGAGCCTTTCTCCAGAAGTCAGTATTGGGAACTCAGCAGAGAAATCCTCTCGCAACCACAGACATGTCACAGGCACCAATGTTCTAACACAATATTGCTATACCAACCCTAATAAAAACAAAAATCTACTCAGGATCCTTTAACACCAAAAGAAACCCCAAATACCAAATTTTTGCGATAGAGACAGAGAAAATACAATTTGTCCCACCCACCCAGCACACCAGGGCAATATCCCTTTCTTACCTGCAGCTGCAAGAAGGGGATGTTGAAGAATTTGTGCAGGTACTTGAGGCCAAAGCTGTTCTTCATGGAAGACTCAGCATAGCGGAAATAGGAGGAGCCAGGAGGCCTGTCCCAAGCAGAGAGAAGAACACTGTACCCAGGACAGACTGCACACACAGGGGCACTGGCTGAATTACACACCACAAGCAGCCCCACAGGCCATCCCCCCATCCCCAAATGTAGGCCAGTGGATCATTCTGCCTGGGACTCTTATTTTGTGCACAGCCAAAATTCATGCTTTGATCCCCTGAAGGGTGGCAGAAAGTGGCTGTTGGTGTGTCACAGTGTCATGTGCCTCCTAGGCTAAGAAATACTCAGCCAGGACACTGGGATGTTGGTTTCCTATACTGGGGATTTACAACTATACAAGTTTCTCATTTCTCAGTGACGGTTTTGGTTTAAAACCCCAAACAGAGTGACAAAAATCACATATAGAGATGAATCTGTAAAGAAATGATTACATCATGGACAAAGTCTTAAAACGGACACCATTTCTGTGTGACTGACACAGGCATAAGCAAGTAAGAGATGAGGAAAATGAAAAAATTACCTTAAAGACATGAAATGACATAAAAAGGTACAATCTACTGAATCTTGACCAACAAATAGTATTTTATACTACATAATAGAGCACTTCAGACCTCTGCATAAGCGAAATTCTTGTCTGGCTGGTGACGGAGGTGTATGACTTGGCTGTGCCCAGTAAATGCTGTGTGGGGAAGCTCAGAGGCAGAGCAAGGAGACAGCTGCACTGGCTTGCTCTCTTGTAGCTGAATTACTTAGAGCAGAGAATGGTTGTGCCGCAAGAAGAGGATTCTTTCACACGAGGACTATTCAGAAAAAATATGACTTCTTGGGAACAGCACTTCTGAAAGGCACTTGCTGCCAGGCCCTCCCAGCTTTCAAGGAACACAGCAAACAACCTGCCCAGAGCAGGCTCCCGGATCAGAGCCCATCGTGTCAGCAGATGCCGCTGTGAGACACTGGGAGCCCAAAGCCGGGCCCTGGGGCAGAGGGTGCATGTGACATGGATGTGAAACATGGTTATCTATGGGTGATGTCAGATAGCAGTCAAGCCCTGCTGCCCTGCCAGGTGGCACAGCTCACCTGTTCAGGTTGTCAATGAGGTCCCGCACGTCACCGGGCAGGATGACCCGGTGCTCCCCCATGTCCCGGTAATTCCCAAGCACACACACTGGAACGTGGGTCGGTACTTTAGGAAGCTCCCTCAGAATATAGTTAAATGTCCTTCATCAGAGAAGAGAGAGAGAGAAAGGCAGATGAGTGGGAACATCCTTCTTTGAGCAGCTTCATGCACAAATCGTAGGGAAAAAAACCCCAAAGAATGTTTTTTCCAAAATTCTTCCAACTCTGTGGATTCTTTGTCCCCTCAGAGAAATACATTAAGGCTCAATATGTTTGGATCATTCTTTATCCCAAAACAACTTGATAAGTTCAATAATCCACTTCCACCAGCAACCTCACATCTACAGCAATGTTTCCCTCAGTCCTGCAAAACTGTGTGGGGTCAGTAGAAGAAACGTTTTCCCTCCTTTCAACTTCCCCCAGACTCTCTGACCAACACCAAACCCGTACAACATTAGCTTAAATATAAAGCAGGAGCTCTTACCCCCTCCTCTTCCCACTCTGGTTTCCGTATTTGCCTCACCCTCCTCAGCAGATGTGCAAAATGAACAGTTCATTATTTCTGTACATTAATGCAGCCCAGGGCCTCTAAATAATCCATACTAATACCAGTCTTCCTGGGAATTCCTCAGTAGCATTCCCCTTTCCCTTGTGTTCTGGGGAGCAGGGATTTGTAACATGCACTTTGCACCTGTGACAGCGCTAATTATCAAGCCTCAGCCAGCAGTGTATCAGCAACTGCAACACACAACCTACTGGGACACTGCTTGTTTGGAACAAGCCCAGGAGAGGGGTTTATTAAAACCCATGTCACAAGACAAAGCTTTTATTTTAAGGGATACAAGCTTGCTTCAACTCATTAGGCTGGTTATCAGCTCTCAAATCCAACTGGGAATCTGGAAATCTAGAAGTAATTTGTTTTGCCTAAATAAAGGAGAATCATGAGATACCACTGAAGGTCTCTTACCACTGCTTGGTGATGTCAAACATCATCACTACACCATTGCAGTTCTTATAGACATCCAGGAACTCTGCATCCAGAGCCATTTCTGACTCTGCCTGAGGAAATAAAGGCAAAGAAGCAGCAAATAACTTGATTCAACGTTAGGCTTGTACAGAACGCAACGGATACAGTGCTGAATAGGCAAACTTCTAAAGGGGCAACCACTGTAAGGAGTATCTGTGGATGTCACGCCATCATTATTGAAGTAAGACATGTGGTGGTTCCCAGCTTCCACTTCTCACAGGAGCAGCACATGAAGCACCTGACAGTGTCTGACAGCACATGCTAAAACCCACCCCTGCCCTTTTCCCCTGAGCTCTCAAATCCTGCATTGGCAAGAAAACTCCATATAAGCTACAGGGTGGAGGACAGAGGGCACAACTCCCATTCCATCTCTTTGCTGATCCAAATATTGACTATACTCCTTAACCTTCTGGTGTCCAAAGCCAGGAGGCAGTTTCTCTCATGGAGGACTGACAGAATTTATTAGCACCTGATTGTCTTCTCCTCATTTGGACTCTGCATGCCTCAAAGTCCAGACAGTACTGGACAGTACAGGTCCCAACTGAGTCTCCATAGCTCCTGCTGCAATTTGGCGCCTCCGGAACAATTCTCACTCATTTCCCAGGAGTGGAAAACGCACCATGTTTGCAAAGGAAGAAGCAGCTGCGCTATTTGTTCTCATAAAGGTTTTTTCCACAGGAGAATATTTTAAGGAAAATTGTCCTCATCTGACCACACAGCCTGAGCAGCACTGGCACTAGTGAAAGGTTAACAGCCCAGCTCTGAGGTACAGCCAGGGCAAGGCATTGAGCGATTTCTTGAGGCCCCACAGGAAGGCCCTGACAAAAGGACTTCCTGCCACTGCCCACAGGCAGAGAAGTACAAAGCTGCTGAGCAAACACCTCAGCAGTGCAGTCATTTCCAAAAGACAGAATGGAAACCAGCAGGGAAGTTGTGGTGAGGGCAGGAGAAGGGCTGAAATGCACAGAACAAAGAGTGCAGAGCATCAGGGGTCCCACTGCCCCTCACCCACCTGCCAGGCCAGTCTTAGAGCAGAAACAAATACAGAACTTGCTCTCCATGGACCAAAAGTGGATGCAAGGCCTCCCCCTGAGAGGCAAACCTCTGCATCCCAGGTGACTCACCTCCTGAGGGTCATTCTCCAGTTTCAAACCATCTCCTCGTTTTTTGCATTTTCCTTAAAAAGAATTGTACAAAAAAAAATAAAGCATTACACTGGGCAGAGAACTGCAGGATGGGTCTGGGCAGGACCACAGCAGTTTGAACATAACCTTAAAGCAGATCCTACTTCTACTGTAAGCCTGGGGGACGAGAAGGGGTAGGACAGGCATGCCTTGTTGAGGAATCCAAGCTCCCCATGTCAAGAATCCCAGCTAGTCTATTCAAAGATGCAGTAAGGATATCTGGGGTAGCTTAAACCATGCTCTTCACAGCATAAAGCCCCAGTGACTGAGTAACACAGGGTTGGTGCACTCCTGGCCACAAAGGGAAGCTGCTTTGTTGCAGTTTTTGTTGCATTAGTGTTGAAGAAGCAAAAGCTCATGGGGCTGCTCTGACTGATGGCACAACTGCATGTGCAGCCTTCCTGAGAGATGCTGTGATACTGCTGTGCTGTCACTGACCTGAAGCAAGAGGTCAGGTCATAAATGTGACCTCAGAGCCCATCAGGTGCTTTGGGCTGCCTCATGACTAAGGAAAAAAGGGGTGGCAGGTGACTATGAGAATTTAACAGCCAAAAGACAGACAGAACTTACAGAAGGGGAAATCCAAGTGAAAGCAAATAAACTGTGGGAACGGGGCTGTGGAGACAGAGAGGGCCTACATGTGCTCCAAAGGCCAGAGCCGGAGGGTTGGGTCTGGGCATCACCAGTGTAGGTGCAGAAAGGAAATCCTCCAAAGGTATCACCCAAAGCACACAGAAATAAGCCAGAAGACAGGTACAACTCTGATTAAGCTCCCAGAAAAGTGCAAGAGACAACAAGCTACACATTTGGAGAAGACACTAGAAAACCACTCTAGAGTCTTGCCTCGCAGTCCCACAGCCATGGGTCCACCTGGAGCAATTTACAGGTTTCTCTCCAACTCATCTGCTTCCTCTAAGGCTAAAGTCCAGCCCTCATAGTTAAAGGGCAGCCCCCTGAGACTTCTCCCTTTCCTTACAGTTTAGGGAAGCACTTGATAAGTTCACAAAATGACATTTTAAAGTACCACCGGCATTTGACTCAGCACTCCCAGAAAAGGAGTCAGTGTTTTTAAACCTCAGCTCCCTGAAAACTTTGTGTTACATCAGTTACACTCTAATCATGTTTCCATATCTTACAGCCTGGAGTCATAGTAGACAGGTGTATCTGCACCTACGACCACCAGAGTGGCCATCAGCTGACATGATTTTCTGGTGTAGACACCCGGCTCTAAGGATAGCCAGGAGTCTCAACATCTTCTGTCATCTACTGCCAAGAAGGTTTACTGTGGACATACAATGAAAAAATCTGTCCTCTTGTTTAAACTCTGTGTTCAGAGTCTCCAGAGTTTTATCAATGATAAGCACTGCACAATGAAGAACCCTGCAACATCTGGAGTGATATTCTACAGATACCAAGTATCTCCCAGATGTTACTGACAGCAGTTGAGAGCTGCACTTCTGAATTAACTTTGTTCTGTATTTTCTTAGTCTAAATAAAGACAAGCTAACTAAATTATACTGGCACAGACCTGGGATTCCTTCTCATGATTTCTAGAAATTCACTGTGTTGCTGACAACAGAAGGTGTTGGCAGCTCGGATGCACCTGCAAAAACCCTCCCAGCAACTCTGTAAAAGACTCTGCAACACTGAGGACCAAAATAGTTTCCACCAACTCTTCAACTCTGCTGAATCACATTGAGTGAAGACTTGTGGAATTCAGGGTTCTGCCAGATGCTGCATGTGAAACAAAGTATTTGTTCTTCCTGCACCCAGCTCAAGGATAAATAGTTAGAAAATACAGTTATTTAAGGAAAGTTTTAATGCTGCAGGTTACAGCAGGATATTCTGGTGGGTGTTTCTGCGCATCACTGCAAAATGTTGCACCACTCATGACATCTTACTGCTTGCATCTGAAAGCAGTAGAAATATTAATCCTGATCCTTCCTCATTTGGGCATTGTGTTTCCCCGAGGGATCCAAGTATGGGCTCTGATTTCTCCCGGTGCAGCTGAAGGTGTGGATTGTCTAGGCCATGCATGCCTTTTCCCACTTCAATTCATTTCAAGTCAGTGGCATTTGTGTGGCTTCTCTAAATATCAAAGCATTGCTATTTCTGCAGTCACTGCTAAATGATGCTTTGCGTGACCTAAATTTCTAAGTCAAGAGAAGCTCAAGCAACCACAAATACTATCCATCATTCCTCCCATCCTGACCAATCAAGGTGTCTGCCTAACCCAGGCACACTTACACTCAACGCTTTGAGATGGAATATGTGACCTGCAAGCCTCTCCCTGCTCATGGTTTTCTGTGTGGATCCAGAGAAATGAGTAATCTTCTCGCACATGGCACATCAGTGCCGCAAAGGAGGTCACCTCAAAGGAGTCACAGAGCTGAAAAGCGCATGTGTGTACAGATTCATGCACAGGATCTATTTTTGGAACCAAAACTGCGGGATGAGCCAGACAGAGGCAAAATATATGCAGTGAAAAGATGCATGGTGAGAGTTGTGTGTTTGAGGTTGCACTGATGGGTAATGTAGGAGCCTCAATCAGAAAACAAGGCTCTTTGTGCTGTGATGGCTCAGGTCCTCTCCCTGAAATGATGGCTGCTCCTTATTCACAAGCATAGGAGCAACACTGACACCAAACACCTGTGGCAGCAGAGCTCCAAAATCTACCGAACAGTTCTTACTGGACACCAGAAGACTCGGGTTGTGATCAGCACCCGAGTCTCTGCATCTCTGTGTACCATCAGTTTTGGTGCAGGATAGCAAGGATTCAGTGTAGCTTGCCAACAAATGCTGTCCACAGTGCAAGGGAGCTGCTTCCCTTCACCGGTCAAAAATACACATCTGGAATATTTGCATCCCCTGTGTTATCTAACTTGGGATGTCTGAAAATAACAAAAATATGAATTATGATCTTTCCTTCTTCTTGCAGCACACCTCTGAGAGGGAGAGGGGTGAAAGGGCAGCAAGAAGGAAAGGAATCTCCAACACAAGGGAAACAGTTCATGCTATTTTGTGGGCAATAGAAAAAACTATGATCTGATCCCTTCAGGCGCGTATGGGAAAAGATGTGGGAACCAAACTGGCAGAAATTACAAGACAGGAATTCACAACTGTTCCTGAATCACCTGCATTCAAGCAGCTTCTCCGCATTCAGGATCCGTTACAGCTTATGACCTGCAGTAGTTACACAACTTGCTGCAAAGTCAGAAAGATGAGTCAGTAGTGTGACTTTTGCTGAGAGAGATCTTTCCTGTGTTCTATCAGTTCCAAAGGCAGCAAAGGAGATGATATTTACTACAAATGCTGCACAAAATTCAATACAATTCATAGCTGGGGGCAAGCTCAACTTGGTAAGATTTAACAAATAGCATCCTTCCAGACATGAGCCCAGCTCCCTGAGCAGGCCCACAGAGAATGCAGTAGGGACTCCAGTGAGTCTGAACATCTTAAAAAAGAATCCCAAAGAGTCAAGAACAAGCAAAGAGGAACAGCACAGTCTGGCAGCTGCCATTCCCCTCTGCTTCACCACACTAACCACCCTCATAGCTTTTAAGTTTTCACAACAAACCTCCCCACACTTCTCAATTAACTCTGGATGCTAAATAAACAACACCAAGTTAAGTCACCGTCCAGGCAGGGCCAGCAGAGCTGCCTCCTGCATCCTAAAAGATTCTGGAGGTAAGACCCACCCTGCTGAACCAGCAAGGACAGGGAACACACTACTGGGGAGCACCAGGAGAAGCATCATAGAGGAAAATCACTGTTAACTTCAGAAATATACATTAAGTTTTCAGGGTGCAATTCCCTGAAATTTGGGGTGCAATTGCCTTCTGCTATTCCCCCCAGCCCCCTGTGACAAGCAGAATGGCAGCACTGCACAGCAAAGGAAAGCTCAAAGCTGCTTTACTGAACTGAAGTTGAAAACTGCAGTTCATGGATACACCTGTTAGACGGTCAAGCCATAATAACCCATTTCAGGGCTTCCAACGCAGCTTCAAACATCTTCATTTAAATAGAAGTCTCCTAATTTCCTCCAACAAGGAAATGGGGAAACACTGGTGAAAGAATTTAGCCTGGAAAACAACGTTATGTTGAAATGCATGTTCAGAACATGCATTTTTTGACAGTTTCAAATCCAGCCTGATAAATGCAGCATTCTGCCCAAGTCTAAATATGTACATTAGCCAGGACCTGGTAGGTAAGGAAACAAAGGAGGATTTGGTCTTGTCAGCACTACGCTACAGCAGCACTGGATACTTTACTACTGGAAGTCTGCAGTGTAGTGTGGCTCTCACCCAAAGCATCAGGCAGGAGGATTTTTTGTCCTAAGCATACAGAAGGAAAATAAAAATGTCATGAGATAACATTAATATGAAAGTTAGATATGAGCAGGCTCTTAATGGTTAATATGAACATTTTCCTAAAGTTGCACTTATCAGGAATCCACCATGCTATGGTAATAGGAAAGGATTTGATTTTGTTAACATCTTTTTACACTGCACTCACTGATTGCAAAAAATACATATCTGTGGTCCATAAGCAGGGATCTTAACAGAATGAGTTTTATTTTAAAAGGCTACAAAGTGGAGGGAAGAGAGAAAGTCCCTTGAGATTTCTGACACAGGTTTCACTGTCAGAAACAAAAGCAGGAGCATAAGAGCTGTTATCAACATCTGCATGTATCACATCCCATCTGCTTTGCCAGAAAAATTACAAGTCTCTAGTTGAGAAGATGACTGCTCAGAGAAGCTATTCACAGAAATAAATGCTGGAACCACATTATTCCCAAATTAACTATCTATCTATTCATACCAAAGCTGCAAGGCAGCGGGAACACAGATGTTTTGCTCAGATTCCAGCTTCTCACTTGTCATCCCATGATCCAAAAGCCAAACTGTAATCAGACTGACTTCAGCAGTAACCCTGGCCAAAGCAAGGTTTTGTCTATACTGTGAAAACGGGGGCTTAAACCAATAAAAAGATAAAGTACACAGGATTTTCATTTAAAGTTCCTGGCTCAAGTTTACCCTGAAGGCTCCATTATGCATCTGAACTAGAGCCACCACCTCTAATTACTTTTCTGGTTTTACTATTTTGAATACAATTCAGCTAATTTCTCCCTTTCCCACTCCCTATTGTATTTATTGTCTCAGTTTTAGGTGTACTCAGTGTAAGCTGCACAGGTGGTGGGGCAGAGGTGGTGCCCCTCGGATGCCGTTCGGACAACAGTGTGGATTCCAGCCAAGGCTGCAGGAAAGGCAGCACCAGACAAACCATCAAAGTTTAAGTTTTGATGACTGTGGTCAACAGATTTGACAGAGAGAGACACCAAACAAGGAGCATAACCCACAGAGCAACAGCTGCTCACCTGTACAGCTGCTTTCCTGACCATACTCACACTAAACCAGGAGCCTGACTGATACCAAATGCCTCTTAAAAGCCAAACAAGATCTGCATTTGGGGCTACAGAATGGGCTGTTGAGATTTACATCTGAACCCCAACCCCTCCCAGGAAGAGATCATACTGCCTATCCCAGTTTGCATTGCATCCAGTCTGCATCTTCACAGATGTTTTGGGGTTTGGCTTTACTTTTTATAAAATAGAAGTTTACACTCTGACAAAAATTGAAAACTAATGAAAAATGTATTTATACATCATAATGCTTTCCTTGGCTAGGTGTTTAGAAAAGCTTTTGAGAATGCACATATTGCATTTTCTGTCCTAAGTAAATTTAAGTAATTGGCTTCTCTTTCATCCTTTCCCCCTGCAAGCACTACCCACTGCAGATACTGTTTTATCCACTTAACAATAGCATGCCTTCACAAAACAGCTTAACAAGAACTTTCAGAACCAGAGAAAAGAACTTGGAACCTGTCTAAACATACAGCAAACTATAAAGGGAAGAAAGTAAAGTTTATTCTAAAGCTCAGAGAATCTGAATACACTGAGCACCAGGCTACTTCATCTATCATGGGCACATGGAACAACCGCTTCTGAACTGCTTCTGGGTTTGATCAGTAGATTCCAGATCAGTTCAGATTCTAGATAATGGGCTCTCAGCATAGGACACTCACCTCTCCTTTCCATATTTTTTTCAGGAAGTAATATCTGTGCACTTGAAAAAAGTAAGTAGAGATGTTTTTTCAAAGTAGAATAAGTAGGTATTTCTATATTCTATGTAAGTTTTTAATCAAAATTGAGAAAGAACAATAGATCTCCATTAGAAAAGAAGTTATAAATCTTACCTTTGTCAACTACATCCCATACTTCAACTTTCACAATATCATCAGTGGCTGGAAGCACAATAAGAAAACAAAAGATTAAAAGAAGGTTTCAGTGATATGTCCATCACTCAGTGCTCACCAGAGAGAGCCCAACCCAAAGCCAACATGGTGAAAGCAGCACAACAATGCCAAAAGAAAAGCAAATCCTGTGTGAGAAGAAAACCCAACCAGAACAAGAAGGTGGTGCGCTGCTGAAGGTCCAAGCTGTCAACCAAAACCATGCCATCTAAAGAACTTCCTAAAAATTCTTAGTCACATAAGTGATGGCTGGATTTCCTTGATGGTTCATGTCAGATTTGAAGCGTGTTGTAAGTATTTTGTGTAGATTCTTTTCATAACACACAGAGCTTTCCATAGCCCTTCAAAAATGATGAAAATTTAATTCTGAGGATAAAGTCTGGTCTATAAGCAAGACGTACAACTGGAAGAAGGAATATACACATTTAGGGAAGATCAACCTTACTAGTGGCATTTCCAAGTAAACGTGACAGCCAGTGCAGACACCCCTGCAGCTACCAGAAACATATTTTCTCTGCACATTTCTAGGCGCATTTCGTGAAAAATAAGGTCTCACTAGCACTTTTGCCTCTTACAAGCTGCAGCATCAATAAATTACAAGCAGTAACATAACTATATATTTGAGTTGCTAAAATCTTAAGCAAGACATGCAAAATTCTAACTCCAGTGACTGGCACTGAGAGCACAGATAGCAGTTTCACTTTTGGGTGGCATGAGGGACAGGCAGATCTGATTCAATGTTTCCACAGAATCCAAGGAGTCTGATCTTTAGAAAGTTGTTATAGGCTTCAAAGCAAAAGCTTGTAGTTGGAGCAGCTCTGAACATAAAGCAATGGAATAGGAGGATAATGTCTCAGAGTAGAAAATAATCTCACAGGATGGCATGAGAGTTTAGCTAAGTGTCACTGTCAACCAGGAAAAATTTTCTCTACAGAATTCACTGTTGGTTTAACTTAAATGTTTCAAAATATTGTAAAGACAGATTATGAATAAAGGAAAATTTTGATCCTCTACTTCTGGAGAAAGATCGTTTTTTACATTTATGCATGATGCAAAATCGGCCTCTGTTTTCCTCACAGTAACTTTCACTTATCTCCCCCTGTGCCAGCTGGCAGTGGGCACTGGGCACACAGGACACTCCCCCCAGGTCAGCCAAGCCGGTGCCTCGCAGGACTGAAAGCACATGGGTGTACAGCAGCCTGCAGTCTGAACACTTCTGCTCAAACCACTACACTCCCCAAATTAATTCTGTCCCTGAACATTCCTACATACCATCAAGCCATGTACAGCTCAAGTCCAACATATTAGTCATTCCCCTGGCACCCAACTGAGCCAGCTCCTCACTCACAGGCACTGGCACTGAAAGGAGCTCTCCCTGTGCCCTGGACTGCTCAGGGTGTGCCGTGCCCCTGCGGGTGCTGGGACACAGATCAGCTAGTGGAGGTCTGCCCCAAATTCCTGCCCTGCAGGTGATAAGGCAATCCTGGTGCCTTTCTACAATCAAGACTTGCTGTAAAAGGGTAGGAGATGTTTGCCTTTTCCAGATGCCAGATTTTGCAGGGGCTCGGGAGGAGCCCAGAAAGCTACTTGTTCTTTCCAGCAGTGCCACGTGAAGCTGTACATCAGCACTAACAAGGGGCTCCTGGGGAGAAGCTGGAACCCCAGTTCAGAGACGTGAGCCCCTGTGGTGACAGGCAGTGTTCTCCCATGAGGTGACCCAGTGCTTGGCACTGGGACTTTGCTCCCAAGCTCCAGAGCTCTCCACCTCCTTATCAGGAGCCAAACACACCCTCAGTTATGATTTGTTGACCTGCTGAGTGATTTCTGCAGTACTGACACCCTGCTGAGCAGGCAGCTGGGAAGCTGAACCTCTTGACCCCCACAGACCTGCTCGACACCCCTTTTGTCTGAGGGAAAGGTTGAAATTTCTCAAAGAAAATGAGATTCTGCATGAGATCCAAGAAAACCAAAACTGTATTTCCACATGCTCCTGCTAGCTCACAGCCAGGAAGTTCTTTTTCATCACTAGTGTCACTCCTGATGATCCTGATCATGAAAGAGGATAATTGCTTTAGTGCTGCTGTGTTGGCTTTGGTGTGTGATTCATGCCCAGCAGCATCTCACCTGAACTGGCTCTGGAAGGGATGTCGCAGCAAAAACAGAGCCAGTTCATCCTTTCAGCTCCCTAACTTGGATTAGCACAAACCACGATCAAACCACTGCAGAGATCTGTTCTCAGCTGCTATTTGGCCAGGTACTCCATAGCACACTGAACACTGCTTTCCCAGAAAACGGTGGAGAGCTGTGAGAAGACTCCAATTGCAAGAACATTCATTTAAAAATAAGAATCATCGGATTGTGGGTGGGTTCACCACCACGAACTCACAGGCCCTCAGGCATTTTTACTCTCCTGCAATGACAAGATTCACTTCATTCGCTCTGGATCACAAATCCTACAGCACAGGGCAGCTCTGCCATCCCTCGCTCCCACCCATAAAGCATCCAAAAGATCTGAATGAAACTATTTGCCAATGTTTATTTCAGACTTCATTTCTGAGGCTGCCAAACAGAGAATAAAATTGGTGACTAGCATAATCTAAAAAAGTGTTCCTTAGGGTCAGGAATGGTAACTCCTTACTTGGACAAAAAAATTACGAATATCCATTACAGTTGGCACAGAAAAGCAACTTTGTTCATTCTGCGTAGGAAGAAATAACTCAAATTCCGCTACCTTCATTAATTCCTCAAGTATAAAATTTCTGAAGGTGCTACATTCCACATCTAAAATGTCATTCTTCTAAGACCAGGCAATGTAAGAATCCTTCAATATTTGACAGGAATTTCATTAACATCTGTAAATATTTGCTGCCAACTACTTCATAATGTTTATTTAAGGTAGCTTGAGAGCATGATCACAGGAAAAACAAACTTTATTTTTCCTTTACTGATTAACTTGGCCAACGGGGCAGGAATTACATCTGAGCCAACTACTCTGAGGGCCCACATCACCTGTCTTGGATGGAAAGTTCTCAAAGCAGGAAACAGACCTTATAACATCTTTTAAAATGGGGGTTACATTTTAAAACGAGTATTAAGAAGGTCAGTGGAGAATTTCCTATACTGCTGGAAATTATTACTAAGACAATAGTACAGTGTTTTACAATGTAAAAGAAACACAAATGAAAGGCACAATTTCAGGTACAGCCTTCCAGATAGTTAGACAAGCTCAGCAACACTTCGCCTTGAGGAAAGTCCATCAGCATATGTACATACTGCTGTCAGCTCTGGCCAGGGAGTTCGACAGAAACCCAGCACACCAAGGTTAGAACTGGGCACCAGAAATAACCGATACACCTGTGGTTCTCAGTACACAGCAAAGCCACCCCAGGTGTAGATGTTTCCTATCCCATTATTGCACCCATGTTGAAAAAGCCAGTGCCTGAGCCTCAGCTCAGGAAGAGAAATGCAGACACAGGTGAGATGACTGGATCTTTCTCCAAACACCATTTTGCATGTACACGTGCGTTTTGTACCTGTCTATGGATACAAAAACAGTTAGGTAAGAATAAGCCTCTTAGAATTAAATGCCAGACTCTGAGGTTGTATCTACCAGCACTGTTATGTTACCTACACCCATCAGAGAGGAAACCCAACTCTGACCTTTAACCCGTGATAATGCAGAAACCCACAATTAACACTCAGTGCATTCTTTACACTCGCATATCCAGGAAAGAGGAATTTAATTTCTTACTATGATCTAAGTCTGTTTAGGCTGAAGCATTCAAGTTTGATTTTGGAGATAGTTTCCATCATCCAAACAACTTGTAAGCTCTGTGTTCATTCCTCAGTAACTGATGTGCTGATATCCTGAGAGAGAGGAAGAGGAGTGAGGGGAAGGATGCCACAGCCAACATACACCGTGCCAGAGGTTTGGCTGCAGGTGGGAAACACTGTGTGACCACAGCAGATCTGCTGGTGAACATACCCTGTAGTTTTGTGAGCATTATCATGAGACTTGGGCATCGTGGTATCACCTGACAATAGAAATTTGAGTGGTGAATCAGACCCAGTACTCAATTTGGTGCTCACCCCAATGCATGTTCTCCCAGCTGGGAGGAGATGGACAGTATCTGATTCAACAGAATGTCTGACTGGGGCAGATGGACAATGTCTGATAATGACAAACAACTGCTGACCGTTTGTGTACAGCATACTCGGTCTTACAATTTCATACTGAATCAGTAGTTCATCCCACAAGGCTGTGGCATTCTTTTTCAGGAACCTGAAAGCTGGACTTGATGCACTGTTGAGTCACAGCCTTATGCAATTTCAATGCCTGCAGTGCCTCCTCAAGCAAGAGGCAGGGCTTTCGCAGCCACTTTATACTATCAGAATAATGGGGAAAATTAAAATACAAAATCATATCTGATCACCCAGAATCCAACAAACACTTAAAAAAGGTACTGGTATTTCTGTGCCTCAGTAACTCAGCCTAGAGCTAACAGTACTACATTAATTTTTGAAACATCACCTTCCTCAGTTACCAGATGCTCTTTATATTTTCATCAGTGAAATCTAGTTTTCTCCCTGCTATTCACTTCTAGGCAACACCCAAAGCCTCAAAGCCAGATTTACATAATAACTCATTTTCTTTAACATGTCAAGCATATCACAAATATCTCAAATACTTCAGACCACCTATTAAGTGCTTCCCTTGAATTGTGGCTTCCACAGACACTTTAGCACTTAAAACATACAGTTTCTGCGAAGTTATTAAAAACATGACTGAGAAACTATGAATAATAAGTTAAAATAAAAAGTGATGAGAAACCATTTTATCTCACAAGAAGACAGAGAAGAAAGAAGCAAATGAGGCTGCAGTGGAATTTCCTCCCCCAAGGCACTGTTGCATGACTGTCAGTCCCTCCACTCTATTCCATCTTACTTTTATAATTCCAGTGGATGCTGGTGACTTGGATCTCCTGAGTCGGAATATATTCCTCAATAAATTTTTTTCCCTGTAGTCGGTGCCAGAGTGTGGTTTTCCCAGTGTTCCTGTCCCCTCGGATGACAATTTTCACTGGGGAAAAGAAAAGGCAGACAAATAAACTTGATTAAACACAACTTGAAGAACACTCCGAAAAGCATGTTAACTTTTTACAAGCATTATTCAGATGTAATTAGTCCTCCCATATTACACAGGCATGATGGGGTTCATTAGAAAACATGAGCCCCAGTCATTAAAATCAATCTTTATTCAGTGACTCACACCAGCTCAGCAGAAAGAACCACCAGCAAGGCTGAATCTTCAAAATCCAGTCCGCTGAGCCTCTGCTCTGTGACAGATGCATTTGATCCCTTACCCAAATGAGCAGTAGTTTGGTTTAGGAGGTAAAGGCCTGAGCTGTAGCTGGACCAAGAACTCCTCCAGGAAAGCCAGAGAGGAGCAGTGACACAGCCAGCTTTGGTGCACATGAGGTTGGAACACCACACCAATCATGGATTAACACAAGAATACTAGGTGGCTTTTCCAAGACTTGTTTATCAAGGAACAAAGAAGTTGTGGGTACAAGAAGTCTCCTACACACCCTTCCCATTGTATGCAATTAGACTACAAGCCCCCACGTTATCCCATCAATATGACAGCCCGGGTGAGCCTTCCTTGAGCTCTCTCTGCCCAGCAGCGTGGCTGCATTGTGTCCCCTGGAGCTGGGACACCTCTTAAGCTTCTCCTTGAGGCAGACACCTTTCACCTGTGACAGATTTCTTGAGGAGTCTAAGCAGAGCTCTGTCTAAACTGTGGCTGGACTGCCTCTCCCCTTCAGCTGGGACACTTCTGTCTTAGGTTCCTTACCTGGGACTGAGAGACCCCTCCACCCCAACAGTAAGGGACTGATGGCATGCAGAGTTAATACTAATGAAATTGATACTCAGTATTAGTTATTATAAACTTTGTATAGATAATTCCATTAGACATGTCTAATTACATTAGACATAAACCGCTGTCCAAGTCCAAGTCTGAGACTAAGACGCACATAAGCTTGATCAGGAGTTTAGAAAGGGGGTCCCCTCCGAACCTTGTGACCCAACAGGAGGGTCTCCCTCAGCCTCCTGCATCTCCAGTCTCTGTGTAACTCATTCCAGCTCAATTCTAACTCCATTTTTCTCTGGGTGTTCCACGCATGTGCTCAGTAGCAGAGTGAACCTTGCCATAAAGTGGTGTCAAGTCACACTGGAACAACACCACATTCAGATCACTTTTGCTCATACACTGCTGCTGATTCTTTAAGTGATCTAAATCACCCTTTAGCAACATCCTCCCATCTTTCTGCCTTCTCTACCTCTCCCTGGCCCTCACTTCCATTCTACCACACCCTATTCCCTTGCTGGCCTTTTCTGCTAGGCTTCTCCCTCCATTACCTCCTCTACCATTTCCATTTCTCCTTAAACACTTCTCATTCCTTGAGAAAACAGAATCACAGAATCATTTAGGTTGGAAAGGATCTTTAAGATCAGCTAGTCCAACACTGCCCCAGCATTGCCAAGGCCACCACTAAACCATGTCCCCAGGTGCAATATCCACGTGGCTTTTAAATCCCTCCAGGGATGCTGACTCCTCTACTGCCCTTGGCAGCTGTGCCAGGGCTGGACAGCCCTTTTTGTGAAGAAATTTTCCCAAACTAAACCTTCCCTGATGCAATTTGAGGCCATTTCCTCTCCTGCCACTTGGTAGATGAGCCCAACTCCCTGGCTACAACCTCCTGTCACGAGGCTCTTGTGCTGGTTGCTTCAGTTTAGACAGAAACGCATTCAAACTCTTCCACAGAAATCAAGTGTCCAAATATCAAAAACTGTAGCAATTAATATCACGAACTTTCCAGAGTTGACCCAAATGTTACCTGATTCTTTCTGAAAACCCCACGTATTGTTTTCTAAGTTTTCTGTTACAGTGTAGAAACTTTTTTTTAAAATACCATCCTTGTTTTTGGTGGCAACCACAGGGTTACTGGGAAACATAAACTGGCCTGAACTGGATTTTTATGCTCGCGTTTTGAATTGGAGCTACGATTCTCTGGAAAATGGGCTACTCACAGACATCTAATGGCAGTAAGGTGATTAGCATTAGGTTGTACATCATCATTTGGGCAAGGAGATCTGCAACCAAAGGCTGCCTTCTGCTGCAGCTCAGGAGCTGTTGCAGTGATTTCAGAGAAGAGCTGAAGAGGTCAACTTGAAGATAAAACATATACAGAGTCTGTAGAGGACTTCTGTCTCGTGCTGAAGTTCCACTGTGCTTCTGCTGTTGTACACAGAGGTTTATTCTTTTTCAGAGCTGTTTATTCTTTTACAAAATTACTTACTAACACAGCACAAAGATAATAAAGGCAAAAATTAACACAGTATTTATGGGCCGACTTCACTTACAGGTCCCAGAGCATCTCTGCAGACACAACAAACCAGTTCCTGCATTTCCTGTCACCTTGTGTGTGATTCTGTTTCCTACTTACAGATGGTGAAAGAAGATGATGAAGGATTCCTTTGATTTTCTGGAATCATGAAGCAAGTCCATGGCATAAGCAGAATGAGACTCCATTTGTCCCCTTTCAAACTCAAATCTTTTCAATATGCTCTCACTGCCTGCCTTAAAATGTTAAAATCCATATTCCCCCATGGAATGCAACATGAGACACCAAAACAGTGAGTTTCAAAGGACAAATAGACCCTTCATAAAGAGTCAGGCTGCTCTCAAGGTGCACTTAGAGGATCACTCAGATGACGTGGTTGTGAGCTCTCCCCTGAAGGGACAGTCTTACCTCCTGCAGGATTTTCCCAGCGCCAATGCTGTTATTTATGCAGTTACACGTGGAGTTGGACCAAGAAACTGAACTGGCTGAAAAATAACCTTGAAATCATCCATTTTCAGTTTTCTTCTGTAGCTCCAGTGCCCAGCTACATGAGCACCACACAGGAGGCACAGTTGAAGTGGAGAGGGAATCCCCCCCACCGCTGAGCAGCTCATGTTTAGATCAGTGCAGGGTGCTTGTGGCACCACATACTCAGTTTGAACAGGTCCAAGGGCCCCTTCCAGCTCCAGAACTCTCCATTAGGATCTCTGTTCTCCTACATAGTGCACAAGATCTCAGTGACTCTTCCTGAAGAAAGAAAAGGTCTTTAACAGCAGAGCAGGAAGGAGGCAGGTGACACACATCACTTTTAGCAAAGCAAAATCTGTATTTGGGACTTCAGCTGGGGCAGGCATACTCAGTAACAGGACCTGCAAGGCAGAAAAAGCTGACTGAGCTTCAGAGCACAGCCAGGCAGGTACATCCCAGGGCACAGCCAGGCAGGTACATCCTGGGCTGTGGATGAATGTGGAAAGAGGAGCATAATGACAGGTGAGGTCAGTGCTGTCACCTGCAGGACAGTAACAACTTCTGCCTTGTTTTGATTTGAAGTTAAATCAGTACTTACTGCAAACAGCCATAGGTTTGCAGCAAAGGCAGGAAAATTATCCGTGGGAAGAAGGGTAGGGATGGGGAATAGATCAAGTGGCAAGGAAAAAGCTAAACAAATCACTTTATTCATATTGTTACTGCCTCAGGAAAACCAGAGGGATTTCCATTCTCCAGAGGGGGAAACAAAAGCAGAGAAGATACAGGCCCAGAGACCAGGTCTCAGACCAACTAGAACTGGAAATCAGGAGTTCCCAGCTCTGCCCATATTCCTCCAGGACCCCGCAGCAAAGATCCCCAAACTAATAACCCCATGCAGACATCCATAACCTTGTCCTCATTAAGGTCTTAGGGACTGCAACTGAAATGCTTTGAGCTGTTTCTGCTGCCAGAAGCAGCACCACCTGCTCTGCAGACCCCCTCAAGCACAAGCAAAGCAGCAGGCAAAGTAGGGCTGGCACATGCTGCACAAACACCTGTTTTAGGCCATAGACGAAAACAAGAGAAAGTGGGAAGCAGCAGGAAGAGGAGAAGCCTTTCTTTTGGGAATTGTGCTGAATGAAAATACTTACCAGAGTCTGGGAACTATGACTTTAAAGCAACACAAAAGAAGTAAGTTCTATAATGCTTACTAAACAGATATGCAATATTAATTAAGTTTTATCTTTGAAGGCACATTTTAGGCAGAAAAGGAATAAGGAGAGGGACTAGGGGGAATTCTTGAGCTACTGCCTTTGGTATTTCAGTACTGGTGACTGTTCAGCCTGTGCTTCAGGCACACACAGCAGTGGGGTTTGTCAAGTGATGTGCACACTGGATGCAGCATATAAAGCCCAGAGCAGGAGGTGTTCTGTGTTCTGGGGAACAGGATGGATGGATTTGAACCTTCCCTGATCACCAGTGGATAACTCCCAGGGAATAACCAGCCAGAGCCATTCATTTCACCCTTGTTTGCCCATCCCTGCCTTACATAAACAGTCAAGTTTGAGTACCCTTGTGCTAGTACTTCCTTGTGTAATTGGTCTTGTAATTTGTTCAAACAAGCACCACTGCCCAAACGAGATCCACCTTCCCTCTCCACCGAGCCCACTCGCTCTGGCCGTGCTTCCTCCCAGGGCCAGCACAACCCTCAGAGTGGCAACACAGCACACCTGATCCAGGGCCAGGCTATCCCAAGCAGGAAAGCAAGAGAAAGCTCTTACCAGGATTGGTTCCCCATTTTCCCCACCCTTGAAACCATGATCCCCTATAAGCATCCCAGCCATTACATACATGGCACAGACCCATCATTTTCAGCTCTGTGCCTTCTGAGTGCTCAGGGAACTTTGGTGTTGACTGGGCCACAGCACAGAAACCAGAGCAGCTCTGTGCAGGTGGTACAAAGAGCAAACAAGGAGTGTGTGTGCTGGAATGCCGTACGGAAATGCTTTCCTTTTGAATTAGGATGTCCCAAGCACAGGACGTGACTGCTGCCAAGGGCTGGTACTGGCCTTTGCTCTCATCACTTCATTAGAAACCTAAACCTTCCCACCCTGCAATGCTCTTCGTTTTGAAAATGTGACTGTGGGAGAGCAACCATCAAAACAAATCATTTGGGCTCAGTTTAGTGGTACATTCTACCCAGTGCTTGTAACTGTCAGTGCCATTAAAACACCTCAAACAGCATCCCCTCAAACAGGGGGCTGTTCTGAGCCCCTCGGCGAGCACCCAGAGCCAGGTACAAGGCTCAGGTCCTGGCCCGCTTTATCAGCAAACAACCCAAAGCATTCTCAGACCATTAAATATACTTCTAGGAAGGAAACAGTCTTTAGTCCAGGATCAGTAGTAATCTAATGCAGCAAGGAAACGTTTCTGTAAATAAGTCATCACAGCACCCTATGGTTTAGGTTTAGGTAGCTCCAGGGGAACTGGAGGAGTTGTAAAGATCTGTGTGTGCTAATGGTGGCTCCAGACCGTGTCCTGCACTCCTCAACTGAATGTCAGGGATTTGTCCAGAAAGGAGAATTGGCAATGCACAGGATTTGCAGCTCTGCCCTTCCCAAGCAACAGCCCTTGTAATGACATTCCTTCACAGTCCATCTTCAGCTGTGACCACCTCACCATGCTGGAACATTCCCCATCTACCCAGTGCCAAGGCTGTGGAGGGTACTTGGAAGCCCTTTTGTAAGCCAGCCTGTATCTCCTATAAATATTATATAACAGTGATGCTGGGAAGAGTTACTATGGAGATTGGAAAGCTTGCCTTAAGGCAGTGACAGAAAGCTGCAGTTTTATTCAAGCTGTAAAGCAGTAACTAGAACACAAATCCTGGTAACACAGAGCACAAACCAAAAAGCTTTCCTGAGGCTTTCAGTAACAAGACAAAAAGCAGTGAAGCTACAGTTGGCATTTTTGGCCTTGCACAAATGGCAGGCAGGTTCACATCCACGGGTCAGTCACCACAGAACTGAGCTGGTCCTGTCCACTGCTGTGCCAGCAGGATACAGCTGAGCTGTTCTGTCTGCAGCACAAACTGGCCCTGTCTGAGGAGTCAACTCCTCTCTCTTACATAATTCACAAGCTGGTATTAGCTACCTGATCTCAGATATTCAGATGCCAGTACAGCACGCAGGTGCTCTGGGCTGTGGCTGTGGCCACATGAAGCCTCTGCACAGCTCAACGGTCTGTGACCAGCAGATCACCAGGTATATGTTCAAAGATGCAGTGCTATATTCCAAGGCAGCAGTTTCACTCTCACCCCCATCTTTCACTGGAAATCCACTCTCAACAATCACACTGCTGTTGTTCACATTCAGGACTGCTTGCTAAGACACTAATTTTATAAATTAAGCAGATGTGCTATAGATAAAGGCACCAAAAGCTCTCCCCAGTAAAGCAGAGCACATCAGTCCCAAAGCAGTCAATAGCCATAACATTAAACAAAGCAAAAAAAGACCCCAAAACCCAAAGTGCTAACTTATACATCACATTCTGTTCCAGACTAAGATCCAACATAAGCACTATTCCTGAAACGTGTGCCTCCACAGAAATTATCCAGTGCCAAGTTTACAAATCACTCTTTTTCCCACCTGCCAATCTCTCAGCCTTCTGCAATCTGCCTCCCTGCCTGCCTGAATCCACACAACTGAGCTGGTGCTTGCAGCGCTCCCTAGAACCCGCTCCATTTTCAGCAGGGATGACATAACTGCTGTCCCTGCCTCACGACTGTTACTTTGGGATTGATTTCACATAATTGCAGTGCCCTCCTGAAACACTGTATTAAAAATCACCTTTACTGGCCTCCAAGGGAAAAACACAGCCCTAAGCCTCAACACTGGGAGGAAAAGAATTTTGAAAGTGTTCCCTAAGAAAAGAGCAAATGTATCAGTTGCAAAGAAGACAGTCGGGGTGAATGATGTACCAAGGGCACACAGAGGCATTCACAGCTCACCTTTCATTAGAGCCTGGCAGGGCTGAGCTTTTTAATAGACCATTATCATATAACAACTAGAGCTTAATTATAAACACTATTATCCGGGGCTGCAAGGAAGGTCACCCACGCCCTCAGGGGAGTTACCCTCTTGATGCTTGAACTGACACAAACTGATGTACAAGGCCCTCTTGTGCTGTGCCACAGCCGGCAGGCAGCGCTCAGGGACGCTGCTGCACCGCGAGGCCCGAGTCCTGCACCGAAAGATAAAAGTTTCCCATCCCTCACTCCTCCCACGCTTCCACGAGCTCCAATGCTTAACTCTGCACTTGCCTTTGGGCCAATACGGGTAAAAGCACCACCAGGCACACGAAAAGCACACGCACCACCAGCCCCTCCGGGGTCCCAGCGGCCACCGGCCGGGGCCGTGTCCCCCCCGGGCTGGCCGAGCCCCTGCGACCCCGCGCACGACTCACTGTTATACTGGACTCCCTTGGCGAACCTCCTCTGCAGCGCCTGGTTCATGGACTGCAGCCCCGCGGGGATGTTCTTGTCGCGGACCGCAGCCTGGTCCGAGCCCACCAGCTTCTTCAGGGCCGAGAACATCTTCGCGGTCGCTCACCGGCACCGCCGGGGACGGGCCGAGCGCGGGCTCAGGGCCGGGGGGCGCCGGGCGGCTCAGGGCAGCGGCAGGGCCATGCGGGGCGAGGGGCGCGAGCCCGGCCCGGCGGGGGGGGCTGTGCTGGGGCAGGGGGCACTACGCGGGCATGTCCCGGTGCGGAGCGGTGAGGCCGGTGCCGGGGGCCGGGCGAAAGGGCCGGGACGCTCAGCCCCACCAGGGGCCGGTACCGGTGTCGGGGCCGGTGCGTGTGTCGGTGTCGGGGCCGGGGAGCTCAGCCCCGCCGGGGGCCGGGGCCGCGGGCCGGGCACAGGGAGCGGGGGCGGAGCGGGTCTCCCGTCGCCGCCATCTTGGCTCTTCCGCCTCGCCAGGGGGGCCAGGGCGCGCGCGGCGCGGGTACGGCGGCCGGCGGGGGACAGCAGGGCGCGGAGCGCGGCCGCCGCGGGGACCCTCGGGATCCCCCATCACCTGCAAAGGCTGAGTGTAGCCTAACCCGTCCGAGACCCCACAGCCCCCCAAAACTCTCTCAATGCCCTCCTGTCAGATTCACAGGCCCCCACCTGTGACCCCCATAACCCCTCCTGGGGCCATGCCAGCATCCCTGGGTCTCCCCGCAAACATTTCTAGTCCCCGCCTGGGACCTCTGTAACCCCCTGGGATCCCCATAACCCCTGTAACCCCCTCCTGGGACCCCCATAGCTGCCCTCTGACCCACCCCCATAACCTCTCATGGGGCCAGGCCTGAATTCTGGGACCACCCCCAAAACACCTCTAATCCCTTCCTGGGACCCCTATACAACCTGGGACTCCCATAACCCCTGTCATCCCCCCTGTGCCGGCCCCATTTTCCCCCGTGACCCTCATAACCCTGCAATTCCCTCCTGTGACCCCTCAGGGTCCTCTCTGACACTGTGTAATCTTCTGCTGCGATTGTCCTGTGACTCCTATCCCGGCTACAAATGGGTCTCCCCAGTCCCACTGTGAGCCGGATCCAGCAGCAATCATTCACCTTCAGGGAGGAGCAGACAACCTGTTCCCTCCTTCCTGGCAGCTCACCCCCATTCCCTGGGAAAGGGGGGGCTGAACCCCCTCCAGCAGGACCCCCTGAGTCTCTCAGTGCCCCAGTTGGCCACCCCAGCCCTGTGTGTGCAGGGGGCAGCAGGCTGAGGAAGGGTCAGAGACTCAGTGGGAGCACCCAGCAACCCCACAAAGGTGGGGACACCCCACCAGGGAGGCCAGAGAGGACCTGCACTGCATCCCCTGCCCCTCCTACTCTGCTCCCCACCAGCTCGAGAATGGACACGGGGCTCTTTGATCACATTAGAGACATTTACTGCTGGAGGCATCTCCTGTGCTGCTGGCAGCTGGCAGTGCTGTCCCGTGGGACGCCAGTGCTGGGTCCCAGCCCCTTGTCCTCCGCCTGCTCAGTTTGACAGGTGCAGAAACTCCTCATCCTCTGCAAACAGAGAGACACACCAGGTGATGGACAGACCCCTCCTCGCCCTGTGGTCAGACGGTGATGGATCTGCTTCCCGTTTGTCCCTGCCAGCAGTGAAGGGGGGCAGCAGTGGAGACCCTCCATACACAGCCGTGCTATCCTGGGATGTCACCTTATGTCCCACGACCTGCCATGGTGGCATTAATGCACTTCATATTGCTGACAGGGATAATAAAAGATTGTTTCTGTCCCAAGACATGTTACTCAGGCTCCAGCTCCCATCCCCAGGATCACAGATGGTCCCCAGCTCCTGTATGCTGGGAGCAGGCTTGCTCTGGGTAGAGTGTGCTGAAAGACCCCTCAGTCCCCCCGCTCTGAGGGAAGATTTCCTCTGCCACGCTCCTGACAACCTGCTTGTCACTTCACCCGAGGGCTGAGGGGTGCCCATTGTGCCTCCCGAGGAGGCTCAGGATGGAACCCCCTGTGCTGAGCTGGGGGGTCTGGCAGGTGTCACACAGAAGATATATCCCTAACAGGGACCCTGGTTTGATCCTTATTTGGTGTCAGGGTCTCTGGAACCCCCCCAGTCTTTCAGTCCAGGGGCTTTTGCCTGTGCTCCCCATTGCACCTCAGCCTGCTTGGGGCCCTTCCCCCTTTCATCAAGACCATTCTGAAGTTCAGTCATGGCTTCAGCACATCTGCAGCCTGTCCAGCCCTCCTGTGCCATACTGTCTGTGGGTTAATGGCCATATTCCCAACACAGCGCAAAACCATCCCATCCCCATCGTGGACTTGCGACAAAGTCCAGGCCCATGATAGACCCATCCTGGACCCATCCAGACCCAGTACAGACCCACCCCAGAGCCAGGACAGCCCTGCACCCACACTAGGCAGACCTAGGAGGTGGTGTAAGGCTGCTGCCACGGCTTCCCTGGCACAAGGATGGGCAGTGGGGGGCTAGGGGGGTACCTGCCAATGGAGGAGCCCCACAGTACTCCTTGCACTCCTTCTCCGAGTAGAACTGGTTCCCGTTGCCCTTGCAGCCCCCATAGCTGAAGGTGATGCACTTGCCCTGGGCGGCGTCGAAGGCCCAGCGCGTCACCAGTGCCTGGCAGGGACCTGGCATGATGGGCAGCCTGCAGGCAGCTGTGGGACAGGGCTGTGTGAGGTTCAGGGGCCCCCACACCTCCCACATGGATGCGGGACACATGCTCAGATCTCCTCTGATGGGATCCACCTCCCGTGCCCTGGCCTGGCCAGGACTGTCCCGGCGGCTGCTCACCCTCGGTCCGGCAGGCCTGCAGGCACTCCTTCTCTGAGTAGAAGTTGTTGCCGTTGCCCAGACAGCCTCCGTAGAGGAAGGTTTCACAGGCCATGGAGGAGGAGTTGTAGAAGAAGCGGGAGAGCATCCCGCTGCAGGGCCCGGGGTCCCGGCCCAGCCGGCATGAGTCTGCGGAGCAGCACAGCCCGGGCTGTCACAGGCAGATGAGGGGCAGGGCAGTGGGGTCCCGATGCAGCCCCCCTCCCCTGGGACCTACCTTCCTTGTTGCCAATGTAAGGGGGCAGGGGTCCTGCGGCTGAGCCCTCCTCGTGGGGCAGGACTGCTCTCCGTGCCCTCTGCACCAGGAAGGAAGCACAGGGTTGCCATCAGCCTATAGGACCCTGCTGCCCACCCCATTGCCCCTGGAGTGGAGCTATGGAGGCTCCAACCCTCCCTCAGTGCTCTCAGCACTGATCTTGATCATTGATCTTCGGTCTGCAGGCTGTGATCCCTCCACACCTCATGATCCTGTGCTCATCCTGGGTGGGAACCATGATCATGGGTTGTGGATGAAGACAACCGAAGTACCTCAGTCATGCCCTGTGCTGGGGATGTGTCTCCATGGTGTGTAACCTGCTCTCAAGTCAGCTGGGTTGTTTCTCCTGTGAAAGTCCCATCCCCTCTGGAAAATCTTTCAAAACTCAACCCTGTGAGACTGGGAGGTGCTGACTGATGGCTGCTGAAGGACCAGTGGGGTGCTGAGCCTCCCCATCCCTGGAGAAGGGGCCTACAGCTGGGACACTCACAGGCAGTCAAGGAGCAAGGAGACACCAGCAACCTTCATGCCGTGGAAAAAATCAGAGTAGGAAAAGGCTATTGCCTTCTTCTTGGAAATGAGTCCTAGTGCCCTCCTGGCCCCCAGGGCCCTCACCCTGCAGCCTGCACCTGCCTGTGCCCCCATCCTTGCAGGCAAAGCCCATCAGCAGAGATGGAAGAGCAGCTCCCAGGGTGGTCAGTGGAGCAGCTGCCCAAACAACATGTCCTACCCACAGAGCCTCTCCCTGGACACCAGGTCTCCAGTGAGTTTGGCTTGGGAGGAATGTCCTCAGCTTTGATCCACTTCAGGAGGTCCCAGCTGTGCCACTCACCTGGGGAGCACTTCCAGTCTCCTGAGGAACACATTCACCTGGCCCAGATGCAGGAGAGAAGATCAGCAGTGTGAGAGGAGAGGTGTCCTCCAAGTACTGCACCATGCCCATGCAGGACCCCGGGGAAGGGGACACCCTCCCAGTTTTCTTCCCCTCTTTCTGCTTTTCACCTCCCTCTCACAGAAGCACCACCTTAAAATCCCCACACCTCACTGCATCTCCCTAAAATCCCCCCACCCCCCTTCATCCCCCTGAAATCCCCACATCCCCCTGCATCATGCCAGCCCCTTCTGAGCCCCAGGCTGAGCAAGGAGCCCCTCAGGTGCTGGGAGCACCCAGCCACGGGGACGAGTCGTGAGTGTCCCTGGGTGTCCCATGCCCTTGTCCCAGCACAGTGATGTGGGTGCATTGATCTGACAGCCCTTTGACTAGAAGCTGGTGCAATCCTGACTGATTCATGGCCTTATTTCCTTTCCATCCCATGCTGACAAAGACCTTGTCTCTCCTTCCTCCCTCCTGACTATTCGCCATCTCCCCAGCCTGGCAAACCAAGGAGGAGCAGCCAGAGTGCTCCAGTAACAGGAGAGGCACATGCTCCGTGGGAGCTTACCTCTGTTGGCCAGGATGAAGATGGAATCCATGGGAATGCCCGTCTCCAGAGCCAGCTGCTGGAAAGACTCAATGAGGTCCTGCCTCAGCTCTGGACTCCTCCCTGAGAAAGAGAATGGGCTGTGACCAGGGTGGGTGTGGGAGGGGGTCTGTCCCCAACCAGCCACAACCTCATAGAGCTCAGGTGGCTGCAGGCAGGTCCAATACCAGCCTCCTGGTCCTTGCCAACATAGAATCAGGGAATCAAAGATCATGGAGTCCAACCATTGACCCAGCACTGCCAGGTCCACCACTAAACCATGTCCCTAAGCACCGCATCTACACGTTTTTTGAACACATCCTGAGACATCCAGAACACATCCAGATTCCATCACTTCCTTGGGCAGCCTGTTGTTCCTAACCAGCCTTGACTAAGGCCTTGGACAAAGTGGGTTTAATGGTTCTTAATCATGGAAAACAGCATCTCCTGCCACTTCAGGGCCTGGATTTCCTCCAAGCAAATATCACCACCTTCATCCCAAACCCCATGCTGGTTTGGATGTTCTTTGCCTGATGTGGCTTTAACAGAGCCATGAGACTTCACCTCTGCCCTGCCAAAGATGAGCTGTTCCAAGGCACCACTTCCAAAATCCACGGTCAAGTCCCTCAAGGCCAAGGGAGCTGAGAGACCCTTATGTGGTGTTTCTGAGCTGTGCTGGCACAACCCAGAGCTATGGTCAGACGTACCATACAGCTTCAGGGTGGTGCTTGGGCCAAAACTGCTTTTCTTCTTCATCAGGATGACAGCATATTCTTCATAATTGGTGCGGAGCACGTAGGACTGGATAGACACATCCCATTCTGGGTGAGACAGAGACACAGAAGATGTCATTCCTGCCCCTCAGGGAGAGATGGAGCAGT